GATACTCATGTAATGGTACAAGATCCCAATGATGAATGTAACTGTATTTTATACCTAAAATGTACCAATAAACTTAATGGGAAAAAAAAAGAAAGCTCCACAGGCCACTAAGGCGGAAGGTGCAGGATCTTTTGTTGCTGTGGACTCTATTTCCAATAAACCTGAAAGGCACAGGCAGAGCACTGGGATAATCAGGAGCTAAAACCAGTACAGGCCTGCCAGGAGGGATGGCGGTGCCTTGTGGGCGGAGACCTCGACTCTACGCCTGGAGGGGGTGGGACGGAGAGTGGGCAGGACCGGCGTGCCCCGGGCGTAGGGGGCGGGGACGCGCATACGCGTGCTCTGGCAGGGGCCCGGTGAGACCACACCTCTTCCGGTTCGCAGTATTTGCTGGGAACACGCGTGTTGAGAGGTCTGTTGGTGGTGGTGCTCTTACCTTCTAAGCTTAAAGGTTTAGGCATTCGAAATGGCGGCAGAGGTATTACCCAGCGCGAGGTGGCAGTACTGTGGGGAGCCGGAGGAGAGCCAGAGAGCTGTACTGGGTAAAGAATGAGGCCCTGGAGCCGAATTTCCCTTAATCCTCTCCCGCTCTGTCTGGGTACCTCTGCAGTCCTTCCGCCCCGCGTCAAGTCTCCTGCCTACCTGGGAATGGACCCCCTTGTCTCCACCACCCCTGTCTTCCAAACTGGACCAGGACTTACTTCAGCCCCGCCTTGAGCTTCCCTGTCTTTCCCGGTGACACTCCATTTCCTCCCCACCGTACCTTCTATGTCCTTCTGCTGTCATTTAATTCTTGGGCTGTTGTCTTACAGTCCAATTCTCCAATGGGAAGCTGCAGAATCCAGGCAACCTGCGCTTCACTTTGTACAGCAGCACTGACTCCACAAATCCCAGGAAGAGGAGTCAGCGGATCCTGGTAAGTGCCGCAGTTGCATATTGATTCCACTCTCCAGATCTCCGGAGGCCCCTTTGTAGAGACACATGTGGGAGGGTACAAGGAGAGAAAAAGGGTAGCAGCAAATGGATCTTGGAATAACCTCCTCCGAGACCCAGCAGCTTAGGGGTGAGGATAGGCTCCATGCAAGTTTAAGATTTTTGACGAAGTGATGACTTTTCAACATGTTGTTTTTTTTTTTTTGGTACCGGGGATCGAACTCAGGACCTTGCGCTTTCGAGGCAGACGCGGTGCCACTGAGCTAAATCTCTGGCCCTCAACATGCATTTCTTGAACACCTATTGTATCCTACTCAGTAGGCTACTGAGGAAACAGCAAAAACACACCTGGCTCTACTCTTAGGGGCTTCATACTCCTAATGCAGGGTTTTCAGCCTTGGAACTCTTGATGTTTTGAGTTTGATAATTTCTTGTTGTGGGCAGCAATCTTATGCATCACAGGATGTAGCATCTCAGGGCTCTACCCGCTAGATACTAGTGGGACTACAGTGAATTTCCCTGTGTTGAGAACCTCTGCCCTGAAGAGTTGAGTACTGTCTGTGAGGACTCTCATGCAGTGGACAAAGCTCAGAGTCTGAGGGAAGGAGAATGCAGGACAGGTGAGCTCAGTGAGAACAGAGGTCTCTGCCAGAGTGCCTTCCTGGTGCAAGGTGCACTGGAGCTGAGCCTTGAAGCATGGGGGAGGTTTTGACAGCCAAGGTTTGATGTTCCAAGTGGAGAGGACAGGAAGGACAAAGGCAGGGAAGAGGAAAAGCTTGGCTGTGACTGGGAAGTGAATCAACAATTTCCAGCAGTCCTGGGGTGAAGAGCAGTCATTGGAAAAGTAGGCAAAGATCAAGAAGAGCTTGGGCAAAGAAGTTGCTTGCAGAATCACTTTGGGTCATATATGTTGAGTCCTGTGGTGCAACGCCCCCCTCAAACTTTCCTTACCAGTTAGGAGCCAGCACTACCTGTGAGCTTTCCTTTCAAAAACCTTTCTGCCTTTCTCTCAGAGATACTCCAGATTCCTGTACAGATAGCGGGACTAGACCATTTCCTAGAGGGTTTCTAGTGCTAATCCACTGTTATCCTGGATTCTAAAGCTTTTTCAAATGTAGAGAAGACACAATGCTTAATACCTTTCAACACTGGTTGTTAATGGAGTACCCTCCCTCTACATTTTAGGCAGCTGAAACAGACAGACTTTCCTACATTGGAAACAATTTTGGGACTGGAGCCCTCAAGTGTAACACTCTGTGCAGGTAATGATGGGGGAAGAGGCAATGGGAAGGGTGATGGGGGGAGGTCAGTGGTGGGGCACTGACATTGCTGTTCTCAGCATTTAAAGCTTGCAGTTGCCATCTAGTTTTGTCTGTGATTGAGTGACTTTGGGCAACTCAGCCCTTCACTGACCCCTGGTTTCCTCTGTATAATGAAGATTGTCTAGCTTGAGCAGTCTAAGGGACTGAGGTCTGAGGGAGGGTGTGAGGCAGACAGGGCCCCTTTGATGATACCAACAGTGAAGCACAAATAAGGCCTTCTCAGAGCCCCTGCTGGCTGTGCCCTGATAGAAGGCAGACTGATGTGTAAGTGCTTACAATTTAATACTGTATCATCCCCTTGTAAAGATGCTCTATTTTGGAATGGTAGTCTCTCCTCATTATTTGCCTCCAGATTTAATGCACAGCCAGATGTGGTGGCTCACCCCTGTAATTCCAGCACTTGGGAGGCCTAGGCAGGAGGACCACCACAAGTTTGAGGCCAGCCTGGGCTACATAGCAAGACCTTGTCTCAAAAAAAAAAAAAAATTGGGGCCGGGAATTTAGCTCAGTGGTTTTGCCGCCTGCTGCGTAAGCACAGGGACCCAAGTTCAATCTCTGGTACCAAAAAAAAAAAAAAATTGGTGCATAGTAAATTCTAGTGTAATTGTAGATTCTTATGCCTCAGAAGAGTTTCTCTATACACCAGTGAGTCCAGATGTGATTGGCTACCAGAACTGCCAGGCAGCCTTTTATTCCAGATCCACCTCATATCTCTTTTCCCTCTCCATGCAGAGGATTGCTGCTGAAAGGGATTATAGTTACTCTGAGCAAGTCACTGCATTCCTCAGGTTGTTGAGACAGAAGGAAGGTTGTGGAAAAAGGAAGTTGTATAAACAATACCTTGAACAGTCCATTTGTATTTTTTCTTTATCAGGCACTTTGTGGGAATTTTGAACAAGACCTCTGGTCAAATGGAAGTATATGATGCTGAATTGTTCAACATGCAGCCATTGTTTGCAGGTAGGTCTCAGTTACTGTGAAAACTTAATCATACTGTATTGTTTGGGTTTGCTGAATGAGTTAATTTTAAGTTTTTGGTATGTAAAGCACATTTTGTAATTATTTCTACAAGGATGCCTTTCTGCCAGTTTTATTTTGTTTCCAGGATAGGGATTAAACCCAGGGCCCTGTGCATGCTAGGAAAATGCTCTACCATTGAGCTACATCCCCAACCTTCTTTTTTAAATTTAATTAATTTATTTTTTTGATTTTGTGAGACAGGGTCTCACTATGTAGTTCATCCTGGCCTTGAACTCACTATGCAGCCCAGGCTGGCCTCTAACTCATGGCAGTCCTCCTGCCTCAGCCTCCTGAGTGCTGGGGTTACAGGCGAAAACCACTGCGCCGGACTTTGTTATTATATTTTCAGACATTGTCTCACTAAGTTGCTCAGGCTGTCTTGAACTTGCTGTCCTCCTGTTTCACTCTTGCCTGGCTCAGTTTTTTGTTATTTTTGTTTTTGAACTTTTAAATTTAGGAAGTTTTTTTGATGACCTACTATGCCCCAAGCACCAAGCTATAGGCTGAGAATGGCAAGTAGGTAAGCAAGACAGACACAGATCCTGTTTCCACACTGTTTACAGGTGTAAAATCAGAAACCAACCATTAAAGGAAGTTAAACAATGATCACTGTAGAATGTTGCAGGACTTATCTCATAGGTAATTGTTTTCCATCTAAGGCCTTTCTTAATTCTTAAATGTTTTCCAGGTGGAAGTTTTAGAATCTCTGGTAGGTGAAGGAAATTCCTCATGGGATGGAGAGTAATTTTCCTGTTGATGAAAAGTCTCTACACTGTCGAATTTGGGGAAGATCTATTTTTTTTTCTCTAATCAAGTGAAGTTACATTGCTTCTCTTCTTCATCATCTTAGAATGCACAGTGTTAGATCTGCAATTATAAGTAACATCAGACTTCAAGCCCCTGGCTTTCTACTCCTCAAAGCCCAAATCCTCAGTGATGCCCTTAAGTGCTAAGAACCCTGAGAGGGAGGGTGATAGGGAAGATAAGCTCATGAGGATCACTGTGAATCTGTGGTACCTTCAAAGGTATTAGTTTTGCCTTTCTTTAAGCAGTGGTTCCATTCCTTTGAGAATCTGCTAAGACCTGTGTGTTGGATACTTTTCTCTCATTGCTGAGACAAAACACAACACGCAAAGTTAGAGAGGAAGGTGTTTATTTGGCTTAAAGTATGTAGAGATTTCAGTTCATAATCAGCTGGCTCAAAGGCAAAGATGGCAAACAGGAATCGCAGAGGAGAAACAACATAGTGTGCACAAGGTAGCAAAGGTAACAAGGGAAACAGTTCATGGTGGTGGAAGACAGCAAAAAGCAGCAAGGGAGAGATCTTCACCCATCTTTCTCCCTGTATTATCCCATCCAGACTACTGGGATTAGGGTGGTGCTAAATCACTCTCTGATCTGTAGTGGTTTAGTAATCACACCCCTTAATCCCAGCATTACACATTCGAGATTTAGCCATCTCTGCTCAAATGAGGCTCTGGGGGGACATCCACACTGAAACTGTAACAACCTGGATTGACTTTCCAGAAACATATATACAAAAATATATATGAGATTTTACACAATTTTAAAGGAATCTTGAGAGTTGATGCCCATCTCTAAATTTCCTATAGTTTGTAGGGTCAAAGTTAAGAAATACCCAAAGTAGGGCTGGGGATGTAGCTCAGTGGTGCCATGCCTGCCTGACAAGTGCAAGGTCCTGAGTTCTATCCCCGGTAATGGAGGTAGGGGGAAGGAGAGGGAATTACCCACTTCATAAACGAATACAATTACATTTAAATTACTCTTCAAATGTTCTTTTGAATCCTAAGGAGGCAGGAAAAATTGAACACACTTTTGTTTCAGAATATAAAATTTGTCGATAATGGTTTATTCTAACTAGCAAGCGCACATGGATGCGTGGACACACATACATTAATCTTGGGTCTTGTCCTAAACACTCTATTGCTTATTTCATAAGTCCTGCTATTCCTTTTGTACTGGTGATAAAACTGGCACAGAGGTCAGATGACTCGGGTGCACTGCTGATTTAATGCCTTGTGATAGAAGATCACTCCAAAGCTTGTGCTCTTGTCCACTAGACTGTACTGCCCCTTATTCGAGGGGTTTGTGGAAGATTGGAGAGTATTGTGTAAGAAATACACACCTCATGTTAATGCCTGTTTTCAAGTGTTACTAGGAGAAAAAAACTATGGAAACGGCTAAGGGCTTGGTTTCTCACCCTATCTCTGCCTCTGCCTGGTGAATTCACCTGGGCAAGTCCTTTCATCTGGAGGCCTCACTTTTTCTTTTTCAGACAATGAAGAGTTGGACTAGATGACTCCTTCATTTGACTCATTCTGTTCTACAGTTCTCTTAACTGTGTACTATAGCTACATATTAATTGTTCACAGTACACATTCATGTTAGGCTCAGGGAACTTCTGTAATAAAGAAATCTGTTTTTCTTAGATTACTTGTAAAAACATAAATTTTAAACATTATTAATATTTGTAGGCCTTACAAAGCCAGGCATAGTGGCGTACTGTTACAGTTCTGGCTCCTCAGAGGCAGGAGGCTGAGGCAGGAGAATCAAGGGATCCCATGGGTTTGAGACCAGCCTGGGGAACAGTGAGACCCTGTCTCAAAAACAAAACAAAAACTATCTATCTGTATATATTACAGTTTGCCTTTTTTCCTCTTCTCTGTGTTTTTCTGTTTTGATAGATGAATCAATTGAGTGTGAACCCACATTGGAGAGTCAGACCAAAACTTTCAGAGAAAAGGTGAGTATGACAGAATTACAATGTAGGGGGCATGGCAGTTCCTTCTGGGCCTCAGGTTTCTCCATCAGCACAAAGAGCTGGTTGGACTCCAGCCTCCTGGTGCTCTCAGCTCCTTCACTCTGATTCTGTGGAGAGTCTGCAGAGGCCTCTTGGTCTCACAGTACAAACCTGCTCCTATCTGGGCAGCTGAATGCAGTTCTGTGCCAGTGTTTGGAACTTGTTCTCTGGGCTGATAAGGTATAGCATAACACTTGTTTTTGGGATTTGGTCCAAGATTTAGAAAATATTGGTTGTGTCTGGAAACTTTCCCATTAAAACACATTAAACTTTAGAATGTTTAATATAGAAGGTTCCTACAAAGATCATTTCACCCCAGGATTGCACATTGATCGAATTTGCAGTGGTTCCTGGAGCACTGTAGTGAGAAGAGCTGTGAGACTACTGTGGCTCAGGGAGAAACAGTAAATGATCTGTTAGCAATGTCTGTTAGGGAGCTAGGATGAGAGAATGGTAAGCTATGCACCACAGATTTACCAATCCTAATTCTATCAAGTCTTCATTTTACTGATGGAAAAGCCATTGTCTTGTAAATGGCCCTTTACAGTTTATAAAGTAAGCCTGTCAAATCTGTTAATATCCTTCGATGTGTACAACAGTCCTATGAAGTACAGTAGCTAGGTATGATAGGAATGACTCAACTCAACTTAGAAGTGAGGTGATGATGGCTTGGGGAGCCTAGAGTTTCCTTGTACTTTTTTTTTTCCCGGTCCCGAGGATTGAGCTCAGGACCTTGTGCTTGCCAGGTAGGTGCAGCGCCACTGCGCTAAATCCCTGGCCCTCCTTGTAGTTCTGTAGCTAGGAATAGCAGTGCCCGCCCAGACTGTCCCCACTAATTAGATTTGTCTCTTGCACAGATGGATTCTTGCATTGAAGCCTTTGGTACCACCAAACAGAAACGAGCTCTGAACGCCAGGAAAATGAACAAAGTTGGCAGTGAGTCTTTGAATCTAGCAGTAGCTAAAGCTGCAGAGGAGATCATTGATACAAAGGGTGTGGAAGGTAAGCAGCTGGGATTGTGGTAAGAATCTGCCCACAAAGACAGCTTTCTCTTCCTTTGAGATCTTTTGCCAGCCTCCCAGATTTGAAGTGATGGGGTTGAGGCTGGATTCCTTCCTGCTGTTTGCTGCAGGCCTTCTCATGGACAGTCTCAGGAAGCAGTAAGAAGCACCCATGTGGTGCTGCTCTCTGTGGCATACAATCAAGTGGAGGAGACAGGCAAGGAACTGATATGTCTGCCCTGTCCCTGACGCAGGGTTATAGCCTGCAGGGCACAGAGGAAGGAGAAGGTCTCTTGTCTCTGAGTCCCAGGAGGCTTTAGTCAGAAAGGCTGATGTGATGATGAAACTGAGCCTCCAGAGGTGGCATTTCACTTTGGGGTTAGTGGGTCTTTTTCTGATCATTGACAGTTTGCATATTTAGTCATATTATTTTAAAATTATTGTGCAAATACATTAAAAGAACATTAGTGAAAGTTTAAGAATGGTATTCTATAAATTTTAAGAAAATCTGTATCCAGTGATTACTGTATATAAATGTTTAAATACATTTACAGTTTTATGTTTTATTATGTGGTACAGATCTAATGTAATTTTATATTTTCCATGTGATTAGCCAGTTGTTCCCCAACTCCATCCTCAGGATTTAAGAAGTCCTCTTTAGGGCCAGGGATTTAGCTCAGTAATTCTGCCTCCTGCCTTGCAAGCGCAAGGTCCCGAGTTTGATCCCTGGTACCAAAAAAAAATGTCATCTTTAGCATTTTACCACATTCTAAATATTCTATTCCTTGTTCTGATTGGCTATTCTTGGACCAGCACCAGGCTCTTTTAATCACAGTAGCTTTGTTATTGGTTTCTTATCTCATAGGGAAAATTCCTCAAAAATGTATTGGTTATTATAGCATGTGTTTTCTTCCAGGTGATTTTAAGAATTATTTTGTCACGTTACTTTAATTTAAAATCCAATTGAATATAGCTGGGCATGGTGGCGCATACCTATAATCCCAGCACTTGGATGGCTGAGGCTAGAGGATCACTGTGAATTTGAGGCCAGCCTGGGCTACATAGTGAGTTCAAGGCCAGCTTGAACTGCATACCAAGACCCTGACTCAAAAAAACAAAAACAAAACAAAATCCAATTAGGATTAATGTGGAGGAGAATTAACATCTTTATACAATATTGTATTTTCCTATGTAAGAACATTTCTATGTAGGAACCCATTTCAATAGGTCTCTCTGTTTATTCAGACATACTTTAATGTCTAAGTAAATTTAAAAAATTTTCATTAACTTTACTTTCAAGTATTAAAAGACATTTAAAAAAATAATTAAACCATATTCCCAATATTGATTTACCAGGCCACTATTAGAACTTTTCTGTTTTCTTCTCCATTTTTACCTTTATGTGTACTTAATTCTTAACTTTTATCTTTTTTTTTTTTTAGTACCTGGGATCAAACTCAGGACCTTGCACTTGCACTTTCAAGGCAGGTGGTGACACCACTGAGCTAAATCCCCCATCCCTTGTGTACTAAATTCTTACATTATCATTCTTGTAGGTTAGTTACAGTTTTATATTCTGATTTTTTTTCCAGTCAAAATGGGTGGCGAAATTTTTTGCAGGTTAAGGCCATTTTAAGTATCTCTCATTTTATTTTATTTTATTAATTTAATTTTTTATTTTTTGTGATACTGGGGATTGAATCCAGGTCCTCACACATGCTGTGCAAACACTCTCCCATTGAGTTACATTCCGAACCCTCTCACTTGTATCTTCTCTCATATTGTACTATAAATGTTTATTAGCATGTCTGTCTCTCCCAACTTCACTGCCAGTTACTTGCCAGGAATCATGCTGTATCTGCCTTCTCCTGGGCCTAGCAGTCCTGAGCATCAGCCTAGAGGAGAGTTTGGGGTACCTTGGCAGAATCATTCAGATTTAGTGTTTCTGTGCCAATTGTGGTCTCAACTGCATAGGTTGAGAAGAGTGTTGGGGAACGCGAAACCAAACAAGGTGAAACTAACACTAACTTTTCTCTTTACTAAAAGCACTGGTCAGTGATGCCATCAAAGATGACTTGCAAGATGACTCCCTTTACCTTCCTCCCTGCTATGCTGATGCAGCCAAGCCTGAAGATGTGTATAAATTTGAAGACAGTATCCTTTTTGTGGTAGAAAAGCTGCATTACTTCATATCATGATGCTTTTGTACAGCCAGACTCTCCAAGGGTGTCCTTCATCCTGTGACATTCACAAAAGCAATATCTAATCCTTTGCACTTCTCACTAGCTGAGACACCCACCCCTGGGATGCAGAACATTCCTTAAAACGTACCAAATGCCTACAGCTCAGCCCTTTAGGGATCACTTGCCACAAAGTCAAAATACAACTTTTGAATTGGCTAATGCTAATAGTTTAGGACAGACTGATTTTGTAAAAGGAAGAGTTGAAACATAGAATTTTATTACTTAATGGGTCTGGTTAGATGAAAATTGTCATAATGGCTTTGCAATAAGAAAGAGAAAGCAGGGAAGTCCAAGCAGGAAACAAGCACTGGGCTAGAGTCTGAGAAGTTGGCTCTCACACTCTGCCCTGTTAGATTGTGTGAGTCCCTTCCCCCGCTGTGAGCTGTACCTTTCCTATCTGAAATGAGGTCACTATAAGATGAGCTAGCTTGTTGGATGTTTTCATTTTGGAGAGATTGTTTTCTTGAGCTGAAACTAGTTTTATCCCCTGTGGAGTATGATGCTCTTGGGGGCCCGTCTGAAGCTTTCAGGAAGGTGACATCAGAAGAGATATTAAAAATGATTGACGAGAACAGGTACTCCCACTTGGGCAGATGGGGACCCTGGGGAGTGATGTTGGGTACCAACAGGAGTCAGACATAAAGTGTGGGACCTTAGGGTTCAGTGAAGAGGTATCTATGAATGAGCCAATGTTTTCTTGACACTGGGCTCCCAGGAACTGTGGGTGAGTTCAAGGGAGGGAGTTGGCTTCTGACTGGAACCTGCAGCTGCCCAGAGGGTGGTGAGGCTAGAGCTGGGGACCAGTTAGCCCTTGTACCCCCAGGGTTATACTGGGGCTGATTGTCAGTGGCAGTGTCCAAATGGTGGCCTGGGAATGGGTGCCCACTGAAGTGCTGGCTTCTCTGTAATGATATTCTGGGCAAGTTTTTATAAAGTTAAATTTACATATCTTAAATATCATGTAATGTAATTCAGAGATTATTTCCTCTTCCCTTTTTTGCCATTAAAACTTTTTTTTATGATAATGGTAGAATTTTTTCCTTCTGAATTTTTTCTTTTAATAATTTCATCTTGAGAAAATATATTATTAGTTTTGTTTTGTTTTGTTTTTTGGTACTGGGGATCGAAATCAGTGCCTTGCACTTGCAAGGCAGGTGGTGGAACCACTGTGCTAAATCCCTGGCCAGAAAATAAAAACTTGCCAATCTTAAATCGAGTCTCCTAATTTTTAGAAGATTTACTGGTCAGTGAAATCCAAAGCATTGAAAAAATGAGATTTTTTTCTCTACAAAGTCCATTTCCAAAAAAGGATGCATTACTGGTTCTTGTTTTGCTGTGATTAAGATTCAAGGGCAGGAACAAGCTCTGGGCTAGAAATCTGGTGTACTGTGTGGTCTTCCGTTTAAGCTTTAATTTTTCTGTTTGTAAAATGAGGATGCTATGAGATAATTATTTTTTTCATTAAGTTTATTGGTACATTTTAGGTATAAAATACAGTTACATTCATCATTGGGATCTTGTACCATTACATGAGTATCTTGGTTCTTATTTACTATGAGATAATTTTGAAGAGCCTTTATATCTCTGCAAGTCCAGGATCTTGATGGTAGTAGAACAGTACATAAAAATAATAGGTAATTCTCTCACTTTGTGCCACGTACTTTTGTGGTTGCTTTATTTGCAGTGTCTCTTTTAATACAGAAAAAGTCAAGGTTGAGGGTGCTATCATCGCTCTTTATTTATAAATGAAGAAGCCAGGGCATAGACATGTAAAGAAACTTGGCTCAAGCCATTGATAGCAGAGAGGGTACGTAAATCCAGTCAGTTTGACTCTAGAGCTTACGCTAACCCAGCAGTCTATAAACCGTGGCCTATGAGCTGAGTCTGGCCTGCTGCCTATAAATAAAAAGAATATAAGTAAAGTTTTATTGAAATACAGCCCCATTAACTCACATAAGTAATGTCTCTGGCTGCTTTTGCACTACAGTACAGAGATTAGTAGTTCCAAGAGTCTGTATGCCCACAAAGCCTAACATATTTTCCATCTGGCTCATTACAGCCCCTTGCACTAAACTATAGCCTTCCTTTTATAAGAATTGTATCTGTATGGGGGAGGAAGGGAAGTATCTCTGTTCTCATTGTGAGAGAGGTGATTCCTGACAAAGCTTGTCTTTACCTTGACATTCCTTTCTTTCGTTCCTTGTTTCAGCCACTGCCTCTTTGTCATAGAAGCATTGAAGTCTTTGCCATCAAATGAGGAGAGCAGAGATCACCAGGCCCGGTGTATATGGTTTCTAGATACCCTCATCAAATTTCGAGCTCAGAAAGTGATAAAGCGGAAAAGTAAGTCCATGATAGACATTTTATTGTAGTTACTTCCAGTCTGTTATTTGTCAGTAATTCTAGATCATTTCTAAAGAGAAAAGAAAACAGATATGTCTGCCCAAGCCTTAATTTTTAACTGTACAGCAGAGCAATTCCTGGCGGTGCTGCTGATAGTTGGAGGACTCACCAGTCTCTGCTCTCCTGTCTGGATCTCTATTTCCTCTTCTGGAAATGGAGACAGGTTGGATTGTGTGATTGCTCAGGGGCTTCCAGAGCTAATTAACATTTCACTAATTCTGTTCTGCCTTAGGCAAAGTACAGTATGCAGGTCTAATAAAATGAAAATGTTAAGGGACTAATTAGAAAAAACATTAGTTATGTAGGAAGAAAAAATTGGCTTTACATGTGAAGGTTCGAGGCTGGTTTGTGTTGTGTCAGTTTTAGAAGACAGGGTCCATTTCTCATGGTAATCCCAATCTCACCGTATGTGGCAGTCACACATCCATCAAGAACTGCAAACCCAACAGGAGGGGTATGCCCAAGGGTCTGTATTCCTGTTTGCAGTGTTTGTTTCATTTTTATTTTCACATTTTAGTTTACCTTCCTCTCTTCTTGGGCTTCCTTCCATAACCTGTTTTGTTTTCTAGTGCCTTATTTAATTCTCTGTCCTTAGGCCTCACCAGAGTCTGTTCTCTCTGTCTTCTCAAGGCCCCATCATGAACATTTCTTGTGCATGTCTGATCAGCATGCTGAAGCACACATGAGCATATTTTCATTTTAAAGTGGCTGTTCTGCATCTTGGGACCCTGTTTCTCTGACTCTGTGGTTGTGTTCATCACCGTGGCCCAGCTCTTGACCTCTTCCTAGCTCATGGATGAGGCATGGCTTGAGGGTTTTTCAAGAAAATGGTCAAATACTGCTTTGTGTTGTAGGTGCCCTGGGGCCTGGAATCCCCCACATCATCAACACAAAACTGCTGAAGCACTTCACCTGCTTGACTTACAATAATGGCAGGTCAGGCGGGTAGATTTCTGGGGTTTTTGCCTATGGAGAAGAAAGCAAGTGTGGGGTGGGAGTGAGTAGTTGGGGCTTGGGTGCAATTCTGTGACCATGGGTACACAGTGCTGAAAAAATTGCTGCCATGTGGCAAGGTTCTGGGGTCAACTAAATTGAAGACATGCTATGAATTATGTACTCTATCCTTGGAAAAGTTCACTTTATCTTTTTAGAATATTAAAAGCCATGGGAAGTCCTGCAATAAAGACTTATTTCACTTTACATACTTCTTTTGAGGAGCCCCTCCTAATATCCCACAGACTAGTGTCCTGTGGAATGACAGTATCGCAGGAAAGGGCAGGGCAGTGTGATGACTTTGGGGAGAGAACCCCACACAGCACCCTGGGATTCTTTCCTTTGCTTGCAGTGTGTTCCCTGCTCCTGGAAGTAGTAGTAGCTGAGTTTGGGGTGACTTTTCCAGATAACCCAACTGAGAAGGCAGGGACAGGCTTAGAGGGCCCTCCTCACCAGTGCAGTGCTCCAGCACCGCCTGGGGAAAGTAGACACAGTTTTCTTTGTCCACTCAGAGGGAAATGTTGGGGTTGGCTCCCTGCTCACTATGTGAAGCTTGTGCACTTTGGAAGGAATAAGGAATGTTGCTCAAATTCCTTTCCTTTCCCCAAGTTGGGAAGACATTTGTATGCAAAAGGAATGGGTTTGGATGTTCTTACTTTGTTTTTAGAATTTATTTCTTTACTGCTGCTGATTTTTTACAGTTTACGGAATATAATTTCAAATTCTATGAAAGCAAAGATCACTGCATATGTGATCATACTTGCCTTACACATGAATGACTTCCAGATTGACCTGACAGTGTTACAGCGAGACTTGAAACTCAGTGAGAAAAGGTGAGCACACAGAACAAAAAGCTTCATGCATGGTGCTTGATGTATTTCTTGTACCACTGGAAAGCATGAGGCACCATTGATGGGGGTAGGGGTGTTTCATATGGGAAAAGCATGGGACCAGAGGACAATTTTCAGTGAGTGAATGAATGGCTAGATGTTAGTGAGTGCCTTCTGTTAGGCACCATATTAAATTTTTCAATGTTACTTAATTAATTTTAATTTTAATTCTCTAAACAGTGGAGGAACTGAAGTCCAGAAAAGTAATGACTTTTGCAAGGTCTCATTCTGAGAGAGAAGTTGCTAGGCTTCAGAACCTGAGCTTTTCCATAGCATTCTGTTTGTGAATAACAGAGCAGCCTCTGTTCTCTGAATTGGTGCCTCTGAAGAGAGGAATTCTACATGGTAATGAGGGGTGAGCTTAGAGGTGGAGTACAGAACCCACTCAGCTTAGCAGGCAGAGTCTTAAGAGTTGATGGAATGGGCCCAGGCCAGGTGTTCAAGGCAAGGTGGAGCTGCTGGTTAGCAGGGATGCCACATTTGTGTTTCTCTGACTGGATGGGGATAGCTGGTAAAACCTTTCAGGCTCCTTCCAGCCTTGCTAGAGATTTATACAGGACGGGGCAGAGCCCCTCAGGATCCTTTTATCAGTGGATGAGAGGGATCTGATATGCAAGCCCCAGATTGTATTTTTATTTATCTATTTATTTATTTTGTGAGACAGGGTCTCACTATGTAGTTCATCCTGGCCTTAAACTCACTATATAGCCCAGGGTGACCTTGAACTCAGGGCAATCTTCCTGCCTCAACCTCCCAAGTGCTGTGATTACAGGCATGAGCCACCATGTGAGGCTCCCAGATTGTATTCTATGAGGGCCTCTGTACTTTACAGCAGTCAGGGAGGGTTTATTCTGAGGGCTCTCCATAAAACTGTTGCCATAGGCAGTGAAATTGAAAAATAAAAGTGAACAAGAGTTAGGACCCTGTCAAATTTTATAGCAAGTGCTTAATATAGATTTTATAGTTTAATTATAGGTGGTAAAGATAATTATTAAGATCTAGGGAACCTGGTTTTCCATCACCTGAGTGGATATTTTGATAGCAGCACATTAAATTGTATGTCTGTTAGCTCTGGGGGAGGGAGTGGAAGCATCCTGTCTGCCCCTCTGCTTGGGGTTTGTTACTGCGAGCCAGTTTGGGGATTCTCTCTTCATGGCCTGGAGCATGAATGTGCTGCTCCCTCTTGCCAAACCTCCCTAAATGGATCTCTCTATTTGTTCTGCTTGTTTCTTCCTAGGATGATTGAGATAGCGAAAGCCATGAGGTTGAAGATCTCTAAAAGAAAGATGTCATTGGCACCTGGCAGGGAAGAGGATCACAGGCTGGGCACTCTGTCCATCCCACTGCCTCCAGCTCAGACCTCAAACCAGTCAAAGCGGAAGAAGATGTAACTATATGTATGCTCTCCATGCAGCCATTTTGGCCACCTCATAGCCACTGCTTGAAAAGGAAATGAAAGGAGGCTTGCCTCAGCAGGAGTATAGAGCCAGAAGCCAGCATCCCAGTCATGCCTGTTTTATGTAGAAATATAAAGTGATGGCCAGACTGGACTTCATCTCCCTCTAGTGTCACTGTGATCATAAGTGGCAGATGTTTCTTGTGTTCACATGTGTGGGGATTTGGGACAGTGGGGTCTGGGAAGTCAGAAGATTTCACCAGGCTGAACCCTGAGCCACACCTACTGGATGGTTTATAAAGAGTCTGGAAGGGCCAGTGAAGTAGGTGTGAGGAGGATCTAGCAAAGCAGGGGTGAGAAAAGGAGGCTTCCAGCTTTGTCAGGAGCTATGGGTCACCAGTAGGAGGGGGTTGTCAGGACAAGCTACTTATAGCCTGTTTTAATAAGATGGAGCCAAGTCAGGTAGTGATAATCCTAGTTTTTCTCCCTGGCTAAGGTTACATATAGGGGAAGATTCCGGTCAGCCAAGTAGACCAAAGATGAATACAATAGAAAGCATTGATGGTCAATCCAGTGCCTTCACCTGCTCTTTGGATGCAGGCTTTGCTAGCAGGACAACTGGCAGTGAGGTTCCTGGGTTGCTGAGGGAGCTGTGGATAGAGGCTAGGCTGTCTATCCCCACAATACCAAAGTATTACCTGGCTATCATTCTGAAAGCAAGGAGTTCAAGGCAAAAAGAAGTATATCAGAAGCACATTATGAGTCAGAACATTGCAGATTAGATGTGGTACCCAAAGGAAGATGAAGATGCTTACAAGAAATAGTTCTCTCAGTACTGAAAGAGGTGTAACTCCAGATATGAGGGGAGCTGTATGAGGAAGCTGATGTTGCTCCATGAGAATCTAGTCTATGAGAAGCTCAAGAGAGAAAAATTAAAAAGGCATGAAAGTGTCCCAAAATGTCCTTTGCTCAGAGGGAAGATGGGGTATCTCAAAAGAGGGCAAGTGTCTTCAGAGGTCAGGAGCAGGCTGCTGAGAGCTAAACCAGACAACAGTTTTCTATGAAGATTTTTCAGACAAAACTTGGCAAAAACGGGGGAAAAAAGTGAGTACTAGCTAGCTTCTCTGGTAATCTATAGATATGGCAAAAATGCTAAGATGCTGAGTAATCGAAGTTGGGAAGATGTGTTCCTGGCTCTGAAGACCTTTGCTGACTGTCAAGTGATGTTAGGAAGGGCTGTTACTATTGCTCTTCACAAAGCCCCATGGGGCAAGCAGGACTCACAAACCCTAAATGGCAGAGAACACAGAGACCCTGAGAGATGCAGCCCTTCCAGCTCTGAATCATGGGTTCTGGTGGGAAGAAGCTGACCAGACAGGAGGGTCCTGGGATTTTCCATTTCCCTGAAGAGAAGCAGGGGCACCTCTAGAGAGGGCAGGTCCTGCTGGACCTGCATCTGTCTGTCTGGAAAGCCCACCAGTGCCCAGACCAAAGCAAGACCTCCCACAGTGTCTCCTTTAAAATATAAAACTTTATTTTAGTTACTGAGATTTTCATAAGTTCTTGGTTCACAAAAAAGTCATTTCTTACAAAGTAACAAAGGCAGCATTTTGTACAGCGACTCACATTGAGGCCACCAAACAAGTGCAAAGGACAGTGCTGGGGATGGGAGGGACCAACACTTGTGTCCAAGGTCCTCAGGGGGAAGCCAGAGCCCCTCATTTCCTCTCCCACCCACCGAGCAGAGCAGCACCTAGAGCCTTACACAAAACCAGCCTGGGAAGCCACCTGGCCAGATGCAGAACAGTGACCCCCAGCAGGCTGGTGAAGGCCCTGTGTGAAAGGCCAAGGGGAGGGAGATCATTCAGGCATCCAGCTTCCTCAAGCTGTAGGGCCCCACCCCACCTGGCTCTGGAACCCTGATACATTCACAGTTCGGGTAGGTAAACCCCTGGCCTTTCTCTCCTGACTGAGGCCATTAATCCTACCCCTTAGCTGTGGGCTGGGACCTGGGGACAGAGACATTAAGATGTGACCTTACCTTCAGAGAGTTCACAGGCAAGTGGGTAGGACAGGGTATAGATCCCCAGATAGTTTCAAAACAAGGCAGAAAGTGCTCAGTGCCCTGAGAGAGCAGAGGGAGGGTGACTGAGGCTCAGAGGGGGACAGCACTGTCATCTGGAGTAAGGGAACAGCTATGTAGAAATGGCAGTGTATGAGCTATATTTTGAAGAATGAGTGGGGCCAGCACATGTGGGTGTGGTGAGAGGTGAGCCAGTAAGAGGAAAGTTTGAGCCAAGGCACAGAGTAGGGGACATCACCTATGAGAATATTTTCACATTGAGGGCCCAAGCACCTCCATCTGGACAGGCTGGAGCTGGAGGGGGAGCTGGTTTGGGTATGTGCACATGGGCTCTGAGTCCTGCAGCAGGCACCAAGCTAACTTCTTCCTGAGCTTGGGAGCTCCTTGAAGACAGTGGAGCTTTATGCGTCCCTGAACTGCCCAGTCATGCATCTGCCTGATGCCTGAAGAAAGCCATCTTCTTTACGGCCCTTTTGTTTGTATCATGTCCCCTTGTCCTCCTGGGGACAGCCTTTCAAGAGGGGCTTCCTTTCCCAAGCCGCTTCCTCCCTCACAAGACTGTCTAGGAGAACTGTGTCCTTAAGAAAACAAACTCAAGTGTAGTGCAGTCCTTGGAGGTAGAAGGGGGCCAGGACCAGATAATGGGCCACTTGTGGGTCAGTTATCTACCCCACCCCAATCACTAACGTCCCTCAGAAGCAAATTGTCTTCCCTGAGAAGAGTCAGGGTTTGGTATGTGTAAAATGAGGTTCCCTGTAACTCAAAATCCTGACCCCAAAGTTTCACATATTTGAGTTTCCCCAACTCTTCATAATCTACAGTTGCTAGAATGACTAGAAGTCCCCCAACTTTTGTGCCCTTTTCTCCTTGAGAAATGTTTCCAAGTTCCTTTCTGCTTAGGATTTTGGAGCTGAAAGGTTTTGGAGGTACCTTGTTCTGAGTGCCCAGGAGGTCTGGGACTTGTTTTTCCAAGAGGAGGCCAAGTAAGAGGAGGGAGGGACTGGGAGTCTTCTCAGGCACTACTTCCATCCCTTAGCTCTTCTGAGCCTAAGGCAGGTCTGCAACCTTACAGGATGGTGCAGAAGATGCTGCGGTTGCTGTGGTAACCACCTTCCACACGAGCTGTGATCCTGGTTGCCATGGCTGTCACTTTCTGCCCACTGTGGGCTGCAGATGGGCCCCTGAGAGAGCTTTCAAGATGAGGCCGTGCTGGTGGGTTCACCAGACGCCACGTATCAGACCTGGAGGTACAAAAGGAAAGCCAGTGAACTCTGGGAGTCTAGTGCATTTACTGAATTCCCTGCACAATCTCGTGTGGTTCCAGATCACTGGATCTCTGTTCAAAGCTGGGTATAGATTTTGTCTTCTGAATGTGACGGCCCAGAGAGATGAAAGGGTAAAGGTCCTGCATCTTAAGTCCAGCTCTGCCTCCAATTCTGCGTGGAACCTCAGACAGTTTCCTTTTATGGGCCTTAATTTCCCCACTTTTGTTTTTGTCTTGTGGTCTGGGGATAGACTCCAGGGCCTTGTGCATTCTAGGCAAGTGCTCTACCACTGAGTTAAACCTCCAGCCAATCGCCCCATGTGTAAATAGGAATCTGGAACTGCTCAGTGGCTTTCTTCTTTTCACTTTTCTCCTTTTTTCAACAGTGTGACAATGTTCATAGAAGATTTATTCATAATCACCCAAAAGTACAAACTACCTAAACACCTTTCAGCTGATGAATGGGCAGACAAACTGCTATATCCATACATGGAAATTACTCTGGAATAAAAAGGAATAAGTGACTTAACAAGCAATGTCACAGATGAATCTTGAATGTATTAGGCTGAGTGAAAGAATCAGACTCAAAAGACTTTGAGCCTGGTGTGGTGGTGCACACCAGCACTTTGAGAGGCTGAGGCAGGAAGATTCCAAGTTTGAGCTCAGCTCGGGCAACTCAGCAATTTAGACCCTGTCTCAAAATTTTAAAAAGGCTGGGGATGGGGCTCAGCACAAAGAGCCTGGATTCAATCCCCAGGGTCGTAAAACCACCACCAACAACATAAAGCTATTTTTACTGAGTGTGGCAATCATTACGTAGAAAATGGCAGTCCATCAAAGGCTTTTGACTGGATGTAGCATGACCAGAGCTCTTGTTTAGAAAGGTTATCCAGGCAGGATTAATAGTACAGAGAGAAGCATGGCCTAAGGGCAGGAAGGCCAGGCAGGAGGCTGCTGCAGTGGGAAAGGTGATACTAAAAGTGCAGAAGTGATACCAATAACAACAGTATGAATCACTATTATTTTTATAACTAGTTTAGCAAAGCACTGATCAGTCAGAATGGTCCATCCATAAACAACTGGGACAACTGTGCTGATAACACAGGCCATAGGTCAGGGCAGGAGGTGCTGAGACCTGAGTTAGGGTGGTGGTGGTTAGGAAAGAGGAAGTGCCAGATTTAGAACACTTTAGAGGTACAACCAAGAGGGCCTAAGAACAGGCTAAACTTTGGTGTGAAAGAGGGGGAGGTGGCAGCAGAGGTTGGGGGGAGACAAGTGGGAAGCAGTGGTGATATCCTGAGGCAGAGTATTAAAAACAAGCTCAGCGGCAGCGAAAACTAACATTTTTGTAATACCTTAGATATTTAGCTAGGCCACAAGATCTTATTTTATCCTAAATTGGTGCCCCAAAACACATGAGCTAGATTTTACTAAAGCTCAAAGTTGTTAGGTAATTTGCCCAAGGTCACACAGCCAGTGACAGGCAGAGCTGAGATTTGAAACCACTTGCCCTGACTGAAAAATCTCTTCCTCTCAGGAATACCTGAGCCCAAGCCTTTTTCTGACCAGAGCTGAAAGCAGGCAGGATCTCAGGGAGGAGGCAGCAGCTGTGTTCACTGGGCTGGGCCTGGCTGCCCTGAGACCTCACTGCTGTTCTAACAACAGGTTCAGACAACCTCAGATACTTACTTTTTCTTGAAGACCAGGAACTTGTTGTTCTGCATGATGCAGTCTCTGTTGTTTGAGATCTGCTGAAAGATGGTCTTGTTGGTCTTGCCCTGGAAGATGATGTTCTCCTGCACCAGGGCCTTGGTGTGGCCCCGAACTGCAATGCCATAGGCCCGGAATGAGTGGATCCGGTTCTTCATTACCTGGGAGAAGTAGCCAGAGCTTGTCACACCTCAGTGACTCACAGACTGGTTGGGGAGCCCACAAAGGGAAGCATCAGTTATAAAGCCAAGGGAGAATGTGCTCTGAACGTCAGCACAGAGGAACTCAAAGAAGGAGGTTGAGAGCTACCTGGGAACCAGGAAAGGCTCCCTGGAAGAGGTGATGGGTGAGCTGCAGTTTATCAGGTACAGAGCAGAGGAGATGTGTTCACTGAATAATGTGCAAAGGTCTGGCAGACAAAGGGCACTGACAACTCAACTGCTGTGACTGTGTCCCTGTATCCCTCCTCTGTTCCCCCAGTGCTCAGATACAAAGTAAAGGCATCCTTTATTCCTTGCCTAACTCACTGATTCATGTAACTGCAGAGCTGAGAAGAACCACTGGGATCATAATTCTATAAGGACAACACTAAAACCCTAGCACCTGGCACAGTGCTTTCTATAAAAGATGCTTGGAGCTCATGGCCCTGTTGGAGAGACAAATGGGTAAAGGAACAGTTACAAAGCACTGTGGGAAGTGTTGTGGGATTAGGGTGGACGTAAACACCACAGAAGTTTAGAAAAGGGCACCTCAAGCAGCCTACGGCAATCAAAGAGTTCCTGAAGGTAACAGCAAAGCTGCAGGAATGAGGTAGCAAAGGGGTACAGGAGGTTATGGATATACAAGGAATAGTGTGTGCAAAGGCCCTTGGGCAGGATTTCTCTCCATGTTAATCACCTATTGCATAACATGTCCCGTGGGAGATGATTCTGTTAGGGAAAGTGAGCAGAAATCTCCCTGACTTCGACCTGGGAGACCACGAAGTTACCTTAGGAGATTCCCAACATTATGACTCTAGGAGGTTACATCCTCACTCCTGGCTTCCTGCTGGTGAACTCTGGTTCATCCTTTTGGTCCCAGTCCCTACATCTGTGTGAAACCACTCCCCCAATCTCCCAGGCTGCTTTGGCAGGAGGGATGATAATCCCTTTGGTCTTGAGTGCATATGGTTCTGCTTCCCAGCCTGTGGTTTGGTCCTGTGTCCTAGCATTGAGCCCTGTGCTGGCAGTAGATGTCACACACATGCACACATACTCACCTTAGTGTCAGACCTGGGCAGCAACTGCAGCCCACTGCCCCGGTTGCCAATGATGTCATTTTCAATAACGACAGTGCTGTCACCCTTGGTAATGATGCCATGGCCTCTGTTGTCATAGATACCATTGCCCCGGAGCTCCACCTTACACTGGGCCTCCACCTTGACCCCACTCTGCCGGTTGCAGGAGATGCTGTTGTTGGCCACACGAGTGAGCTGGCTGCTCTGGGCTACAGTGATGCCTCTGTCTCCATTGGCATGAATCACATTGGTGATGACATGCAGGGCCTCACTGCTCTGGACATACAGTCCGGAGGCTACACGTAGAGGGTGTGGGAGTAAGGAAAGCACGGTCAGCCCTACCAACACCAATCAGGAAAAGCCTTCCCCCAAATCTGTACCCCAGGAAAGAGAAGGGGAAGATCTTAGAGGCAGTGACACTCAGACTCATCCTTGAGTCTGTATCTTCTAATGACAAACAGCAGAAGGAAACCCAGGAACATCAAAAAAACTTCCTGCTGTAATAAGTCCTCATCAAAGGCAGCCAGGGACATAGGCTTTGAAAAGACTTCTTAGCTTTGATGGTCCCCTGGCCCAAGCTTTCATGCTGGGCTTGGAAGCCTCCTACAACATAATCATACTGCTGTTTGCACCTCCTGTGGTGGGGAGCTCACTGTTTTCTCAAGGCTTCCCCTGCCACCTCTAGACAGAGCTCTGTCTGCTAGAAGGGTGTTTTGTTTTGTTTTGTTTCTTTCCTTCCCATTCTGAGTTGCAGTCTGCCTCTCTATTATTTTGGGAAATTTCATAAGAGAAATCCTATAATTTTGAGTAGAAAAATTTACCAGGCTAATATGTATCTAAAAGGTATTAGACATTTTGGAAGGAAAAATGGTGTTTGGAAATGTATATGCTGAGAGGCAATCTGGACATGTAGAAAAAAGCACAGACTCAGCAGGATTAGAGTCTCTGACCTGCCAGGAAGAGAAAGCCTGGCCACCAGACTCCATGTGGGTGGCGTCTCCACCAGTTACATAACCCTTCACAGGAGCAAGAGACTAAGGGTGTGCTGGGGAGGTGGGATATGGACAGTGACTGGGATGGTACAGAAGCAGTCTGAGCCATAAGCCTGCAAGTTTAAACCTCTTGATAACATGTGCCTGTTATTTTTCCTAGGTTGACTGAAAACAGCAAAAATAAGTATTTGTGAATTTAATGCAGCTTTGCCTATCCTAATGGAAAGCATGGCCACATGGTGGAAACCCTGAACTGGGAAGACATAGAACTCATTTCCCAGATAGGTGAGTTAGAGCTGCTGGCTACTGATCTCCCTGCCCTCTATTACTACCAGAGGAAAGCACTTCTGCTTCTCAGGGCATAGGATCTTTTCCTTCTGTCGGCACCCTGTTATTCTCACCTCACAGAACATGTCACTGGGGAATGGGAGGAGGGCAGAATTCAAAGAAGGAAAGGGTAGAGAGGTATGTTCAGAGCAGGTCAGGAATTTCAAGTTGATCTGGCATGTATGGATGGGAGAAGGAATTTCAGGCAAGAGAAATAGCATGAGTAAAGTTGGTGGGGTAGAAGGAAAGAAAAAATAGATTCAAGTTTAGGGAGCAAGTCCAAGGGCTTTGGTATCAGGTAAGTGGCAGAAAGAAGTAGCTGATAAGGCTGGAAAGTCAAACTGGGACCAGTCTGTGAAGGCTCTAAAGAGAGTGGGGAGCCATGGAAGGTTCTTCAGCAAGGGCTGGGGGTGGGGCATGCTCACCTCCATTGTGATTAATACTATTAGACTCTACAAGAGCTATGGTGATGGGCCGGCGCAGCGGGTCATCCTCCTTCTCCAGTTCTGTCTCCCAGAGGATGGCGTCCCCATCCTCACTGAAGTTCTCCTGGGCCCCATGACCTCCAGGAAACTCACTGGAGCCGTCCTTCTGGCTAAACACTGCCACTCCATACAGGCCATTATAGCTCACATGATTGCTGGTGACGTGGGGCAGACTGGATGACATCATCCACACACCACAGCCCTTGTTAGCTGGAATAGTAAAAGGACTTGGTCACTGACACCCAACAGTGAGTGAGGCAGCTCCCAGTGTCTTCCCAAAAAGGGGAGCAAAAGACAATGGCCTGGGACAAATCACTTTGCAGCTCTGGCTCTGGGCTTCTCTTTCCTACAAGAGGGATGACAATGACCAAGTCAGGTCACTCCACAAGCTAGGATCATTCCCCAAGGTGTAAAAGCACTCTGAGAATGGTCATGTCACACTTTCAGATCAGCACACAAACAAGCCTGTAGTTGACTATATCAAGGAGCACCAATTCCATCCTGCAAAGGAGAAAGCCTTAGTTTGAATCCTAGCTCTACCACTTCCTAGCTTGTGTGACCTTGACCAGGTTACAGAACTCTGTGCCTCAGTTTCCTCCTCATTATTATTATGTATTTGGCACTGGGGATGGAACCCAGGACCTTGTACATGCTAGGCAAGTACTTTACCAATGAGCTATACCATGAGCCCTTTTTAAATTTATTTTGAAACCAGGTATGGTGATGCATGCTGGTAATCCTGGCACTTTGGAAGGCTGAAGATGATCACAAGTTTGAGACCAGCCTGGACAGGTTAATGAGACCTTGTCCAAAATATAAAATAAAAATAGGGCTTGGGACGTAGCCCAGTGCAAAGGTCCTGGGTTAAATCCCCAGTACTGCCAAAAACAAACCAACCCCAACAAAAACCTGAGATAAGGGTCTTGCTAAGTTGCCCAGGCTGGCCTTAAACTTGCCGTCCTCCTTCAGCCTTAGCCCCCTAAATATCTGGAAGTACAGGTGTGTGCCACCCTACCTGGCTATTTCCTCACCTTTACACTGGGGCTAATAACTATATTTCACTCAGAAGGCAGTCATGAGAGTTAAATGTGATGATGTTCATGAAGAGCCTAGCAGAGCTGTGGGCCCAAAATAATAATGTCTATTATTGTTATTAGAGATATAGTCTAGGAAGAGTAAGGGTTTTCTCAAAGTCCCATAGTAAGAATAGTTTGGCTTTTTTTTCTGTGATTACTGTTTTCCCATTATATTTCCACTTTTCTGGGTAAAAAGATGCAACAAGAGGTAGTAGATGCCCATGCACTGGAGCTCAAATGGGCTGCCCTTAGACATGATCCAACTCCTGCTATTTAACTTTCACTATTTTGGGACTAAAGCTCTGCTTTGCTGACCCCATGGAGTCAATGTGGAGTATAAGGTGATTGAGAAGAGAGGCTCTTCATTCGGAGAGGGCCTGGCATAGTTCCTTTACCTCAGATGAGGTCTTCAAGGCCCAAAGAAGCCCATGGCACTCTCAGGACCCACAAGCTGGAGATGGAACCTGAGCTTCCTGCCTTCCAGGTATTACTGGACCCCGGCCCCTTGCCCCTGGGCACAGCTCACCATAGATGGTATTTCCTTCTATCAGTCCTTTGCCTTCCTCTCCCACAACCACACCATCTGAGTAGCCAAAGCAGATGAGGTTGCTCCTGAGGACAGGGATCCCTCCACGGCGGATGTCCACGCCTCCCCACTGATTTTCACGGATGACATTTTCTATGAAGAGAGGTAGAGAGAAGGGCAACACCCAAAGGCCACCTCCAGTGCTGGCAGTGGGGACTTGGACAGCTAAGAGGAAGGATACCCCAGACCAGCTCACCCAGGCCTTGCCCTGTCAGCAGTCAGCACTTTGAAGCTTGCCTACTGGTTGATGTTTTGGGGACTTGTCCACTTTCTCTGAGGGTAAGGTCTGTGTCTGTCTTGTGCACTCCTGCATCCCCAGTGCCCACTGTTCCCAATGGCCTTGGAGCTGATGAATGAGAACAAACGGAGTCCAGCCATTCCCCACAAGCCTGGGAAGGCGCTGCCTGTCCTCAGCCTCAGCTATGTTCTCTGACCAGATCTTCCTTTCCTCTCTCTTTGGGAGCCATCTCTTCTCAGGGATGGGGTGAAGAGTCCCAGGTCAGAAAAGTGATCCTAGCCAGTGATGGTAAACCTTTTAGAGACCAGTGCCCAAACTGCAACCTAAAACCCACTTATTTATCACAAAGTGCCAACACTGCAATTAATACTGAATACTGAGGTTTTAGTTTAGAAAAAACAACTTATACATTAACATTTTTTGTCTTAAAAGAAAAACAACGTGTGCCATAAGTTCACCACCACTGTGAGACACTGCTGCTCTCTGCATTTGCTGGGCAGACTCTGGGCCTCCTGAAACCACTCAGCAGGCCCTGTGTGACTGGCTCCTTCCTGCCTCTGTGACCTGGTTTATCACACTCCACCCCCAGAAGCAGTCTCACTGCTCAGGCATGCTGGGTCTGTTCCCATAGGCACCCCTGCATGGGAGGTTCTTTTCCCAGGTTGCTTCCCATCTTCCAGATTCTGTCTTATATGTTACCCTCTCAGAAAACCCTGCCCTGACCACATGATCTTCAACCTCTTGATCTTGACCACACAGGCCTTCTATGTGGATGACCTGTAGAGTCCTTATCACCCTCAGTTTAGCTTTTTTTTTTTGTTGGCTTATATAGGCTTTTAATTATTTATTTGCTTTCCCTTGTAAAATATCAGTTCCTGAGAACAGGAATGGAGTCCATTTTGTTACTGCTGTATCCCTAGCTCCTGGAATGTGGCCTGCACATGTGGTGCCCATCCAGTGTTTGATGAATGACAGCTGCAGTCATGGGCTTCACTGGGCCAAGATCCCACATATGGCTGTGTTCTGTGCTGAGGTTCCACTGATGGATCAAGGCAGACTCAATCCTTGCTTTGTGGAATTACTGCCTCAAAAAGAAGATATGGGAGAAAACAATGCACCAAGAAATTAAGTAAAATGTCCTACAGAGAAGGCATCCTGGACACAGTGAGTACATCTGTGTACAAAGGGAGCTCAGGGAAGGCTTCCCTGAGGAGAGGACTCTTGAGAAGAAACCTAGAGGATGAGCAGGAGTTAGCTAGACAGAGATTTCCAGGGCAGACAGCCACACAGAAGCCTAGAGGAGGACTCAGATAGTTCCTCCGGTGTCCATGCTTCTGTAAGCGCTGTGACCCATCAGTGGGTCCACCTTGGGCCTGGCTGAGAGCAGACCTGTAATGTACTAAGCCTGCATGAGAATTACGGCCAGCATGGAGCTGGTGACCCTGGAGCCAGCTTGCTGGTCTAAAAGGAGGTCTTCAACAGGTGGGGGACTTGTGTAAGGTCCTGAAGCTGGCAAGAGTAACACCAGGGGATGGTCCTGTACATAGCTCCAGGGAGTCTCCATTGCATACCTGTGATGAGGCCCTTCCCATTCTCATTCACGGCTATGCCGGCTGCACGTCCCTTGAAGATGTGGTTCCCACTAAAATGGAAGGGGAACAAGACAAGCAGTAAGACCAGGATACCAATGTCATGTATGAAGGCCACTGCCTTCTTCTGTGGGCTTTCTAGTGGCTCAAGTTCACAGGGTCTAAAATATTTTCTGAAGTCCTATAAGCCAGGCCTTTGGAAATTTTTGGTTGTCACTGGGATTGGTTGTCCAAAAACCAAACCCACAAATATATGATATAGGGCCAGGGATTTAGCTCAGTAGCACTGCAACTGTCTCGAAAGTGCAAGGTCCTGAGTTCGAGCCCCAGTACCAAAAAAAAAAAGTGATATAAGCACAGTGATATTCAATTCTTTGTGACTTATTTTTGTGGTCATCAGTATATAAATACTATTTTAAACAGATGTCACCATGGTGCATGTGTCAGATGTAAAGTACTGGTGGCATGAAGAATTCCTAGGAGGCTGTGCTAAGCTTGCTTAAGAGTGACTGTAGGTTATATAACTCTCAGCTATGCTGTAGCTTAACTCAGCCAAGTCATGTCTTTCCTCCCAGATTCTTACTTCATGTCACAAACATAGAGGGGGAAAACCATAACCCCTTCCCTTAAGGTGACTGTGTTTTGTAGATCTACAATACTGATCTCATTGTGATATTTTCTTCAATCAAAACTCTAATGGTTCCCCAGCACTTGCAAGTTGCATTATGATCAGAAGTTACTCTAATAAGCTGTCCTGAACAGTGGAAAAGTATTTGCCTAATAGTAATAGGATGGATAAAAATTATGGAATATCACAACAACAGAGTGTTCTGAAATTTTCCGAAGTGATAAATATAAAAGCATGCAGCAACCTAGAAATGTACATATGGAATAATACAGGGGAAAAACTCCTCAGGATGTATTTGCTTGCACATCAATGCCAGCCATTTTTCTAAATCACAGGCATAACTATGTGAATCTTCTGCTCAAAAAATCTTTAAAGATTTCCTATTATCATGATAAAGCAAACATCACCTTCCTCAACATGGTTGACAAAAGGCCTTCCTCATCCAGCCTAAGCCTTTCTTCCCACCATTTCTTTCCACTGTGCTGCGTGGCAGAGACAGATTACCACATAGGTATAAAAGGGCATGCTGCAGTGACCATAGGGTCCAAGGTGTTCTGGGACAGTCCCATTTTAAAATATTCTTTTTCTCAAGCCACAGAGGACTGTCCACTCACCCTAGAGCTGTTGGGCTCTGCTGCTTTTGTTCATGCTGTTCCCTTCACTAGGAAGGCTGCCCCTAGCTTCATGACAGTCCAACGCTAATGCCACCTCCTCTGTGAGGCCTTCCCACATTCTTCCAGTCACAATGATTCTCTCCTTCTCTTGACACCAATCTAATGGCATCTATTGCAGTCTGCCCCATACTGTACCTGGAGCAGCAGCAACAGGGTACTGCCACTGTCCTTCCTTACTTACAGCTTGCATCACTAATGGATCATAGCATGCTTTGATCCTGAGGCCAGATATAGACCCAGGATCTTAACACAGTATCCTACGTACCCACTGCCAAGAGACTGGATTTGACACACGAGTGGAAATCTCTACACCACCCTCATCTTACAGTATCTCTGTGCATTTATATTGTTCAGAGGTTGCCCTCCTGTTTTTTTTGGATTTTTTGAAACAGGGTCTTGCTATGTCTTCCTGGCTGGCCTCAAACTCAGCCCAGGCTGGCCTCAAACTCACAGGGATCCTCTTGCCTCAGCCTCCTGAGTGATGAGATTACAGGTATGCGCCACCATACCAGGCCAACCCCCTTGTTTACCTTTGTTACTCCTTATGAGAAGTGTTCAGTAATGTCTGCTGAATCAAAAGTCAAATAGGGCCAAATGAAAGGGGAGCCAGAAGCCCAAATGCAATTGTGTTATTAGGGTGAGATTATGAGTGAAGTCTCTTCTTTGCCTCCCTCTGTACAGTTGTTGTAGTAAACAAAAATGTTTTCAAATTAAGGAGAAAGATTAGGGCAACAGATGAGGGAGCACAGGACGAGAACAAGGTAGCATGGAGAAGCCAGATAGTTTGGGCACAGTGGTACATACCTCACTATCGGATTTCCATGATACAGGATATAAATGCCAGCCTCCTTATTTGAGAAGATTTGGTTGTTCCTGATGACGCCTTTCCCATTGCCAAGGACAACAATGCCAGAGCGAAGGCCATGGTGTATCTGGTTACACTGCAAGTGAAAACAAGACACCATGGAAAACAGATCAGATATGCCAGCAAGAAGAGTGCTCAATCTCTGCCCACACAAATGCGCCAGGATGGACAGGGAGGAGAAAAGAACGTCACTGGAAGATCTCCAGCACATGATAAAGAGACCAGACCAACCACTGTCCTGCCTTTCTACATAGCTGCACACGCAGAAATAGTAAGGGAGGTTGTAAAGATGGGAGTCTTCCCTACAGCCTCTTGGGATGCACTGGCACTTGCTGTTGAAGGCTCTTGTGCTTCATCTACAAGGCAGCTATAGAAAGCATATGAGCCTCTTCAGAGCCTCCCAAACACACAACCATCCAGCCATGCCCTGCCACGCCCTACCTCCCAGGGCCCAGGGAGCCCACATCTCAGGGAAGGGAGGCACCCCAGTTCAACAGAACACTGGCCAAGAGCAGTCCCACGGAGGCCACATCAGAAGGGCTTCTGGTTCTCACTGCTCATTCAGGGGAGGGTCTGTGGAAGGATGCACATACTGGGGGGAAGGTCACAGGAGTTGTCCAAGCTGGAGGATGCTTACAGACACTCATTTCTGATACCTCTTTTTATATATGGGAAAGCAGGCTTAGAATTACATTATATGTTTCTGACAGGCCCAGATCTGAAACCTAGTTTTGTTGCCTTTCCGTCCAGTTCATTGCTTTTGCACAGTAACTTCATTTACAATAAATTATAACAAAATTATACCACTCTTACTGCTAACATGTAGCCGAAATCTAATTCCATACTTAAACCAGAAAGTTACTGTAGCTCTTCCAAAATGGTATCATGGAGACAAAGATCTAATTTTCTGTATTTTATGCAGTAAGTGCTCCTTGCTCTTACCCACTTTTCACTATTTCTGAAGGGTTTGGCAGACTCACCAGGAAAATCACTGCTTGAGAGAAGTCCCTCAGAAGGCTGTAAAGCTCAGCGAGAGGCAGATGAAACAGTATGGCCATCCCTGCCCTCTTTCACAAATCCAGGATTGAAACATGCCACTCCCTTCTCCTCTACCTGTCCTTTTGCCCACAGGCAGGCAAACTCATTTTTGGCCGCAGTGGCAGTAACTTCCTAAGCCACGGCAGTGCATCAGCCACCTGCTGCGTGGGAGAAGGACAGTGAGGGGAGGAGTTGCAAGAGGACACTGGCTAGATGTGTCTCTTAAAAATACAGCTTGGGATTTCCCTTTGTCTGCATTTTCATGGCCAGCCTTAATATAATGGGCTAAAAACATCAACCCTGAGTCAGACTGCCAGACTGCCTGGATTCAAATTCCAGCTCTGTCACCAGCTGTATGACTTTGGCCTTTGCTTCTTTGTGTTCAATGTCTTCATCTATAAAATAGGGATAATAATAATTCTATTTCATAGAGATGTGTAAGGATTAAAGGATAATTAGGCAAATGTCTGCAAAGTGCTGAGAAAAATACAGGGCATATAATAAGCATTATACTCAAGGGTAGGTATTATTTTTCCAAGCCCATAGTTTCCCAATTTCTAGAAACTTTCTCAGGAAAAGCCAGAGTGGAAAAAGAGCTGATCTCTTATGTTGCTGGTCATATATTCCAAGATTTTAAGCTGGTATACAATAAAACTCAATATGCCCCCACAATATCCATGAAACACATAATCTTCAGAACTGAATATCTTACAGGTCCTCTACATAAATAAGGATGAACTAACTAGATGAGTTCTTTTTAGATCCAAGTGTTTTTCAGGGAAGACATGATAGATTTTTTCTTATCAAACTCAAAGGCAACCACAGCATATGAGAGCCCAAGGAGGGCTCTGTTTTCCCTGTCCTTCCAGTCCTCTTTCTTACTGATGGGGAGATTGCAGGAGGTGACTTGTCTGAAGTCACTACTAATACATGGAAAAAGAGAGACAGAGTCATGAGGACCCACAGAGAAAAGTGCAGAAGTTACTTGCAAACATGAAGCATATAAATTTAACATGGCAACATTTAAATATTCTCAAGAAAATTATTCTAAAAACTCACAGTCACCCTGAATGGGAAAGGAAGACAGAGAAAAGTACCAGAATGAGTGGGTTGGACTTCTTCCGGATGTCTACACCAGCCTCTGCATTGTGGTAGATGTTGTTGCCGGCAATCAAGCCTCCACCCTCCAAGCGAAGAAAGATGCCTGATGCCCGGCAGCGGTAAATGTCATTCCTGAGCATGACAATCTAAGCAGAAGAGAGAAAGCCATTTATTTTCCTGTCACAAAAATTTTGTAAAAACATATAATAAGCATCCCACTTAAGGGCATAAAAACCACTGGGGAAACACTTAAGTCTTTTCCTTCCCAACTGATCCCTGCAGTTCACCAACAGATGAGAGGAACACCTCACTGTGCACCCCACCATCCTACTGTGTGCTCCTGGCCCAGCTTGCTGTTACCCTGCAGGCTCTTTACCAACCAGCCTCATGTTGGAACTTTATGGACATCAGATGGAGGCTTGGTCCTGGCCTCAAGCACCTACTGGAGGTTGGGATGGAAAGGATGCTTACAGAAGACAGGATTTAGTGGTCTTCAAACTTCATGTCCTGGGATTGCAGGAAGACTCCCCAATGCACAGCTACTTTCATGGAATCAATTTCGAGACCTGTCACTTTCACCTGTGCAGTCACTAAAGTCACTGTTCTGAGCAAGCACTGAGTAAGGTACCACCATCCCTACCACTTTATGAAACAGAGGTGATTCTTAATTTTGAAAAATTACTTTTAAAAAGGCCTATTTTTGCCCAACCTGGATATTTCTTGGTGTAGTGACTATTTATATTATAAGGAAGCCTCCTTTACATAAGGTATGATAATTTAGCACCCAGCTTATTACAGGGATGTGTTTACAATTACATTTTCTTCTATTTTTAAATAATTGTATATTAATGATAAAGTATATTACAAGTTGAATACTACTAATAAATAATACACTGCATTAGGATAAACTCTGGGAGAAGTATAACAGAATGGAAGTATAATCGCAAGGTTTTAGGATGAAGCAAGTTGGAAAGGACACTGCCCTTACACTGACAACAGGACAGGAAGATAATATGCACAAACCTAAGCTTTCTGGAACCTGTCAGCAAAATGAAGCCGCAGGACAACCAGTGCACCCGAGCACTGGGAAAAGACGGGTGCCCCAGGAGGTGAGATGTGAGTGTTACCTTGCTGAACAAGTGCAGCTGTCTGGCAAGACAGGAAGAATTCTGCTGCCACTCCTCAGCAACTGTTTAAGGCCACGTATGAGTGAGCCAGGGTGAGGGTACAAAAACTGGAAGTAACTGCACCTATTTATTTCTCTATGGACCTCCTAGGTGCTTGTGGAGAAAGACTGGGGGAGAGCAGACTGGAGGCAGCCCCCAGCAGTACAGGCTTGGGGACAGGAGCAGTGACTCCAGGAAAGGCATGAGGCCCTTTGTGTACTCTTCTCTCCTGTCTTTCCTGCAAAACAAGCTGCAAGTAAGCAGAGAAGGGCAGCAAGTTTTGTGGCCTTCAGGGGGAGGATCAGGAAAAACCTCCACCTTTACTGCTGGGGGTAGGAAGAAACTGTATTGGGCCTGGATCGTGAGTCCACCTCTCATACCAGGGGTGAGGCAGGGTTGCTGTCAAGGTCCCACTCCCAAGACCCATGGACACAGCACCCACCCAGTCCAAGGATGAGGCAGGGTGAGAGAGAAACTTTATTGCCAGACTCATCTCACCCTCTCAGTGATAAATAACAGTTGTCTACTGCAGGTGGAGAGCAGGGAGACAGGCCTCCTCTGAGGAGCTGGTGCAAAGACCAGGGAAACCAATGGGAGGCAGTGCTAGAGGAAACTGAAGCCCGGGGGACACTGAGGCTAATCATAACAGCGTCACTGTTCAAACCAGAGCAATTCCTGGTGAGACCTTCCCCCCAGAGACTAAGCTAAAGAAGACACATGCCCATTTCCAAACATAAACATGATCTACATCAGTCACTACAGTGTTGTACAAGGTATTTGACTTCCAGCTACACATAACAGAGGAGAAAACATCACAGTCAGTGCTTTCCTTCTTGGTGCCTCATGCAGCCAGGTGCCTTCCACCAGCCTTTGCACTGCTAGGATGTTCTAAGGACAGATAGGTGATGGTCCTCTGGCCACAGGATCAAGACCTTGCTCCCCAGCACAGGAACCTGACTGGGAAGCCCCACACTCATACCTGCAGCTCCCTGCTTGTGCAGGGATGCAACTGTGCCTGATGCTGGGTACTAATGAGACATCCAAATCCCTACATATCAGTTTCTCAGGTTCTGTCTAGAGACTCACTGGGAATTTCTTGCTATGCACCTCCTGCCAAAAGTCCCATAGGGCACTTGTTCAACAGGGAGACAACTATATAAATGTTTGTCCACCCTTGTCTCCATTCACGGCCTACATAATGATGGCTCCCTATGTGCTCCTGGCATGTCAGCACATATCTCTCCCTAAAACTCCAGGGCCTGGCCAGACCCCACTACTGTGAGAGGTCACAAAGGCTCCAAACTTAAATGTGCCCGGAGTTGAGTTCATCTCTCTCCACACCCTACCCTTCTCCATGTTCCCACCATTGCTTTCAGCACTCAGGAATCAAGGCCCCATGCCCTAGGTTTATTCCCTCCCCAGATCTTCTTCTCCATTTCTGACCATAGATACCTCCTTGCCTTCAGCCTTGTTCTCTCCATGTCACCTGCTATGAGGCTCAAGAATGAGCTTTCAGAAAGCAGATCTGTCTGCAGTTTTCAGCTTAAAATTTCTCAGCGGTTCTCAACAACCCTCAAGGTGAACTCTGATCTCAATCTTGCTGGCAACACCTCTTAGCTTGATCTGACTCATGCTGCCTGGCTCCCTCCTGCCACTCTTCTTGCCACCCTCCTGTTCTCTGGCTGCTGAGTGACTTCTAACTCCCTGCAAGTGCTGTGTCCTTTTTTACTCCTGGGCTTTCTCACAGGCCTCTTGTGCAGCACATCTTCACCTTGTCAACTATTACTCCTGCACAGCTCAGATCAGGTACAGGGCCTCCAGGAAACCCTTCCTGGTTCCTTGAGGATGGGCCAGGTGCTCCTTTTCTAGGCTGCTGGGCCACCTATAGTACCTTTATCACAGAACTTCTTATAGTGGCCTGGTATCATTTTTTAAAAACATTTATTGAGCACTTGCTATATACCAGGCACACTGCTAAGCACTTTATATATGTGACCTTTGATAATTATCCTCATTACACCTTGGAGATAGGCAATGTGGTTAGTCTAAGGAACTTTGGTGACAGAGGCAGAATTTTAGTCAAAAGTCATACTCTCTTTTTTTTAAAGCCATAAGCCATATTCTTAATAACTATGTAAGGAGGAAAGTTCTTTTTATCATGGAACCCATGGGAACAGAGCTATTACCCTTCCCTTTTTATTTTCTGTTTATAGTGTAATCTAATATTGTGCTTTCAGAGTAATACCACCTAAAATCTTTTTTAGAAGTGGGCTGGAAATGCAAATGGGATTTAGTATTCTAGAAGCCTGGAAGACCCACCTGTGACATTTGTATAATGCCCTTTAGTTTACTGAGTACTTCTGTCAATACGATGGGACTGGATCCCTCAAGCCCCAGTGGGAGAAGCCAGGCAGGAATGGTCACTCCCAGTGTACAGAAGCCAAAGGAATGTTCACAGTGAATCAACAGAGAGCTGAGACTCAGGCCTAGGGGTCAGGCTATGCTTTCTTCTCCAAGGCCTGTCTCTGTCTTTCCAGAAGTCATTCCTGTCACTATTCACTAGATTCTAAGGTTGTCCTGCAGCACCCAAAGTGCCTGCACAGGCAAGGTACTGATGCGTCAATGGCTGATGGTTGCTCTTAGCAGAAGTTCCCAGTGTCTCAATGGGGCTTTCCAGGGTAATAGCTTTGTTCTCATGGGTACCATGATAAAAGGATCTGGTTTGAGTGCTGGAGGAGAACTTTCCTGGGCAAAGAGGCTCCTTCTCACTTCCACAGCTGCATTTTTGTCTGCCGCTGCAGCACAGGTAAAGTCAACCCCCAGCACAGGATGTTCCTGCTGTTGGGATGTCCTACTCTGTACCCCATTTTCACCATATACATTGTTTTCTGTGGAATCTCTACTCACCGTACTCAGGACAGATATCTCATCTTTTGGGAAGCCTTCTCAACTACCCCACTGAAGTTTACAGTGGCAGTGATTATGTCTCCCTAAATTTTTCTGTTATTCATGCTAAAAAGGTCTTGTTTCTTCTTTTTTTGTGTGGTACCAGGGATTGAACTTAGGACCTTGTGCTTGCAAGGCAGCCATGTTGCCACTGAGCTAAATCCCTGGCCCTCTTGTTTCTTCTATAAGGACCTGGGTGACATGTTCAAGCAGCAGAATGACATAGTGAATAGAAGCAGAATACCTGGGTTCTAATCTCAATTCTCTCTCATACTTGCTGTGTGACTCTGAGTTAAGGCACCTTCCCTCTCTGGGCCTCTGTTTCTTTTTCTGTGAAATGAGAAAAATAGTTTCAGCCCCGCCCAAGTCAGATGATGGACATGAAGTCCTGTGTGTTAACAAGCTTTTAAAAAATTATTTGATCAATTTCTGGCACTAAAAAAAAAAAGATTATTTGAAATGTAAAATAACCCCATCATACCCCTCCTACTTATGGCCATAGGAACCCTCTCAGCAATTAACAGCTGTGCTCCTGGTGACCCAGTAAGGCTTCAATCCAGATTGTCAACTCTTAGGACAGCACCTTGCTATTATGTATACATCGAACTGCATAAGTCAAGTTCCGGAAGATGTTTCCTTCCATCTTGGCTCGGCCATAAGAACACACAAAGACACCTCCTTTCCCGTCCCGGAACAGGCACCTTCGGATCAGGCAGCCCTGCACAGAGCTGGCCAGTGCCATGGCCTCCTTGTCCTTCTGCAGCTCCTGCTGCAGTGAGTTCAGCACCAGGCAGCTGGGCAGCTGAATGGATGCTCCAGGCAGAGGTGGGCCCAGAAAGGACCCCCCCAGGACAGGGCGTGGGCCCTGCACTTGGTAGGACAATCTGTATGTGAGCTGGTCCTCATCCTCATCCTCACCGCTGGGGCTCAGGCCTCCATCGCTGCTGTCTGGGGTCTGGGCCACCCTTTCCCCGTCGCTGCCCACCTCTGCTTCCTGCAAGCTAGCCTTGGAGCCTGGCTTTGGGGAGCTAGAGGCAGGGGTGGTAGGACTCTGGCTGCCTTCAATGACAATGTCACAGGTCCTGGGACTCCAGGCCTGATCCCGGCTCTCTAGGTCCAGGGACATTAAAAAGTCAGAGTTTTCTGTGGGGAGCAAGCTGGGAGAGGACCTGATAAGACCCAGTAGATACTTGTAGGCCCAGTTCTTATCTGCTGATGGGTGACCCTCCACAGTCACAGAGTTGTTTTCGCTGCCCATAAATTCACAGCTTTCCAGGACACACAGGGGCACGTTGTGCAGAAAGACATGGGTGTTTTTGAAGGTACAAAACTTCACTTGGCAGGTGCCTGGGCCATGGACCTGGATGTGCCCATTCTCAAAGTTGCAGTTGTCAAACTGGACATGACCTGATGTGGTCTGGAAAATGAGAAAGAAAAAATGGCTGTAAGAGGGGTAAGCTGTGTTTTGCTGATCAGCACTTGTGCTGCTCTTTAAGGAGGGCACAGGGGGGAAAGGCCATTTGATCATCTCCTCTTCCCCACCAGGGCATGGGTGTCAATTAGCTCCCAAAGGATCTAGGGAGCTGCTCTGAATGAGAGAAGGGGGGACAGTTGGGAGTTGCCTGCCCTTCTGTGCTTCTAATCTGAAACAAGGGGGACAAAGGTGGATGATGGAAGAAGAGTTCACACTCTGCAGCACGACCCTTCCTATATACCTCAGATCTTACATAAATTCTATTTTTGGTTTTTTTTGGTACCGGGGATAGAACTGAAGACCTTGCGCTCTCGAGGTAGGCAGCAGAACCACTGAACTAAATCCCCGGCTTGCATAAATTCTCTTAATGCTTATGAACTACTTAATGAGAATCTCCCTCTCCCTCTCCCTCTCTCTCGGTGAAAATAGTACAGAAGCTGGACAGAATGGGGAAGAAGCTGCATCAGAGGGATGCTAGGTGAAATGGATTTGACACATGTTAATAGAGGAGGTGAAGGAGGAGAGGATCCCTCTAGGAGGGGTTCAGAAATGGTCAGGAGAGCTTTCAATTTTTACAAACTGGGATCTGAGCCCAACTTTACCAAGTCTCCAAAAGGTGGGGGAGTCCCTGCTCAGTGACTGGGTTGTATGAAGAATGTGTCAAATCACATGCAGAAGTGTCTCCACATGTCCCCCTTTCAAAGTGCTTTCCCTTCATCTGTGCCTTCTCTTAGAGTATGCTCTCCACCTTAGTCTGATGCTCTGCAGCATGCAGGAGCTGGGTGACCCAAATCAGGACAGGGCCATGCAGGACCCTTGTTGCTGGCATAGGAGAAAGCAGCCAGAAGGATCTGAGCCCTGCCTGAACTGGTTTAGGGAGTGGGGGAGGCACAGGAACAAGTCTGAAAAAAGCCACTGTGCAGCCACTGGTGTGGGTGTGCGTGTTGTGGCACAGGAAGACAGCAGTTGCATCTCTAAAGACAGGGATAAAGGATGCTTCTATGGCTCAGGAAGTAGGAGGCTTACTACCTGGGATAGCTCCCAACTCTGCTTCTTTCAAGCATCTTATCTAAGACTAGTGCTTCACCTTTCTAAGCCTGTTTCCTGGTCTGTACCATGCGGCTTACTAGTTAATAAAGCACAAAGTGCAGTGCCAGGCACACAGCTGAAACCCAGTAAAAGTTGGCTATTATTGTCTGGGGTCAGTGACACAAGAAACAGAAAGCAGGGGTGGGAATGGGGAAGTGCTAAACCCACAGCATGATTCATCGGAGCCCCTTAACTCTGGGCCTGAATGAGAAGCAAGCTTGGTATGATCCAGTTGCTCTATATTCCTGAAAAAAGAACTGTTTCTAAATTGCATACCAATTCTATCAGATGTATCTGAACCATAAAAAGAGGTCCCATTCAATAATCCAGACAATCATGATCCCATTCAATAATCTTATCCCCTGAAAACATTTTAAAGTTCTCTAGCAATGACCTTGTTTGATAGCTTATCTCAGAGCTTAAGGACCCTTAGCTTTTCTAAATTCTTCTTTAGAGCCAGCCTACTTTTTTTTGGAGGCACGGTCTTGCTGTACAGTTCAGGCAGGCCTTGAGGCCTTGAACTCATTATTAGCCTGGGCTGGCTCCACTTTGTAGCCTTGTTGGTGATCCTCTTGCCTCACCCTCCTGGGTGCTGAGATTACAGGCATGCACCACCATGCCTAGCTAGCCTACATTTTTATTGCTGTAACTTAAGACCATTTTCTCTCCCATGGTCCATTCTCTTTTTAATTTTTAAATTTTATTTATTTATTTATTTTGGTACCGGGGATCGAACTCAGGACCTTGCACTTGCGCAGCAGATGGCAAAACCACTGAGCTAAATCCCCGGCCCTTCCCGTGGTCCTTTCTAAGGACAAAGTCTAGTGCTCTGGAGGTGCAGAGCCATTGCTACGGTTCTCAGGAGTCACTGAAAACTGACTTGAGAAATCATCCTGGCCTTTGCAGCTATCAGGAAAGGTCAATTCAGGTCCCTTTTTACTTAAAAGATATTCATGGACTGAGTACTAATATATATAATATATGCCAAGCACTAAGCCAGAAAGAGGGCTACAAATAAGCCTAAGGCCGGGCCCCTTTCTGAACTCTGGAGCGGGAAGTAGAGCCTGAAATTAATGTATTACTCTAAGAATAAACCAAATTAATATACTACTCTAAGAATAACATATTACAAAGTGTGAAAGGTCTGGAACACTGTTGCTAAAAACAGTCTCCTTCTGAACCTGAAGATCAGCATAAGGGAAATTCTTAAATCCTTCTGCAACATTCTAGAGCAAGCAGGCTTTTTTAAGCTTCCAGGGACTCCAGTGTGATGTAATTTCTTTTTTTTTTTTTGTACTGGGGATCGAACTCAGGACCTTGCGCTTGCAAGGCAGGTGGTGGCACCACTGAGCTGAATCCCCAGCTTGTGTGATGTAATTTCTTAAGTGCTTAGATCAGAAGGCCTGGATTTGAGCTCTAACCTCACTAATTACTCACTTGAGAAAATTATTTAGCATCTCTGACCTTTAGCACCCCTATCTGCCAAATGGGAACTACATCTACTCTACCACAAATGTTTTTTGTGGGAATCATATGAGGTCACAGAAGGAAAGTCACCTAAATTATAAAAACTGGCTTTGGATTCTAGCTCTGTTCTTTACTAAGTGTGAGACCCTGGGTATGTCACTTAATCTTGAACTTCAGTGCCCTCATTTATAAAATCAGATGACGCTATATTACTTTGACATACGGCTGTCAAGACGGGTGAGATAGTGGCCAAAAAGCACATGCCTGGCATACACCAAGTGCATCATAAATAACTAGTATTATAATGATCTTTACGTACATGAGAAATAATTGTTATTCTAGTAATGGTGCAATGTAATTTTTATTGAATAGGTACATAATCTAAATATTGATGTCAGTTTCTAGGCAATATATAAGCTGCAGACTATTCTGCCAGGAACTAACAATGCCTTGATATATGCTTTGCTTTGAATACATCTTCTGCTCTGTTTTTTTTTTAAATCAGTACTGGGGATCGAACTCAAGGCCTTTGCACCAAGTTATATGCTCAGCCCTTTTTATTTTGAGACTGTCTTAAGTCACTAAGTTACTCAGGCTGGGCTTAAACTTGCAATCTTCCTTCCTCAATTTCCCTGAGTACTAGGATTACAAGCATGCACCACTACACTCAGCTATTCCGTGTTCACTGGAGGAATGTGTTGAACTAATAGTTCCTGATCCTCTTCCCAAGTATCCTTGAGAAGTACCTGATCCTGGTAAAAGCCTGACTGACTCTCCTTGATCCTGCACAGGGTGGGGTTCCTCTGCTGAATGTTACAGCTCCTGCAGGGCCTCCTCTCTGCTGGACTCCTCTGGCATGCTGCCTCAAGCAGCTAATGTGTTCTTCCTATTACCATGTTGCATGTGTCCAGAACCTGGCTTTTCACTTAGCTACTGTATGTGTGGCTCCAGCCGAACTAGGTGGGAAGGGAAGAAGTACAAGCAGTTTTGGCGGCAAGTCCACACCTCATTTTTTTTCCTTTTTTTTGGTACTGGAGATCAAACTCAGGACCTCACGCCTGCCAGGCAGGGGGCCCCTATGCCGCTGAGCTAAATCCCCAGAACACCTCATTTTCTAATACAGCTTTGACAAGAATAAAGCAGAATTTTGAACTATACTGATCATTGTGCCCATTTCTCAACTGGTTCAGACCCCAGAGTGTGTATATGGGAATAACTACTAACCCTCAATTCCAACAAAAATGGGAAACCCAGTGAGAAGAGGCCAAGCCCCTGAGGTCAGGCTTGTACAGCATCTACTTGATGTAGAAACCTACCTTGTACATGATGGGTGAGAACCAGGCTGGCATGAAGACAAGGTTGCACAGGCGTGTGGTAGAGCAGTGCTGATCGATGCTGGCTAGCAGGGTCACCTTGCCCAGCTTCCCATGACCTACAATCTCCACGGGCACCTTTAGGATGATTTCGCCTTGCTCTTCATACACACCTGGGAACAGCACAATTCGGTCATACAGACTGGCCATGGCCAGGGCACTACCCAGGCTGTCAAACTCATGGCCTGGCCCAACACTTAGGGTACGTCGTTCCCTCCTTCTTCGGAATAGAGAAAAGCAGACGGAGGACTCCAAGTCCAGGGCGTTCTTGGTCCATGTCTTGGAGGCAAGGTAATGCTGCTTGAAGGCCTCCCTCCAAGACTCAGGCTCCACGTCAGGCTGGTTGGGCCAGTTGGGGTGGCGGCACTCAGTGCAACCCAGGCACAGCTGCCGCCAGCGAGTACTGTCAAGACTGAGGATCAGCTCGTACCAGGCCCTGCATACCAGGCTGCAGCGGCCCAGGTCGGGAAGGTGCAGGTAAGCCAAGATCATGCGCCACAGCTCCAGGGGGAGGCCACCAGTCTCCATGGTCACCTGGGAGAAAGACACCAAGGAGGATTTTAGCCAGGTATGGTGGCACATGCTTGTAATCCCAGTACTTGGGAGGCTGAGGTGGGAAGGTCATCATGAGTTTGAGGCAACAGTCTCAAAAAATAAAAAACCATCTGCCACCTGCCCTGTAAGTGCAAGGACCAGAGTACAATTCCAGGTACCAAAAATTTAAAAACAAAACAAAACAAAAAAACTCCCAAAGACAACAACAAAAAAAGGGACTTTGTTTATCCTGCTTACAGTTACCCTTCTTCCATACTGGGAACAACCCAGGGCCTCACACATGCTAGGCACTTTGTCATTCAGATATAACCTCAGGCATTTAAAAAACTTTTATTTTGAGATAGAGTCTTGCTAAATTGCCCAGGCTGGCCTTGAACTTGCCAACCCCCCACATCAGCCACCCAAGTAGCTGGGATGACAGGCATGGGTCATAACACCCAGTTTCACTCACGTCCTTGAAATACCTCCCAAAGATGAGTAAATGAAGAAGTCCAAGCCAATAAGAGAACTCTATCCTCTAGAGTCCAAGTGTGGTGGTGGATATTTGTAACCCTAGCACTCCAGAGGTGGAGGTAGGAGGATTGAGTTTGAGACCAGCCTGGGTTACATAGTGAGAACTTGTGTCAAAAATCAACTCAACTCTGGGAGGCTGAGGCAGGAGGCTCAAAAGTTCAAGCCCAGACTAAGCAATTTAGTAACTTAGCAAGATGAAACCCTGTCTCAAAACAAAAAATTTAAAAAGGGCAGGGGAAATAGCTCGGTGTGAAGGCCTTGGATTCAGTCCTGAGTACCACAAAAAACCAAAACAATAATAACAATAACAAAAGAGGATTTCATTCCTTCTCTAGGATTTTTTTCTACCTGGTACTGGCAGGGAAGACTCTCTCTTCTCTTTGGTCAGATACTCTTAATGATAAGTTCTGGCAGTCAGGGTTCCAACCTTGTGGAGAACACCTTGTGATGTGAAAGCCAAGCAGGAACAAGTAGAGATGAAAGATAAAAAATTAAAATGAGGAAGCAAAAAGGTAAGCACATATGTAAGTATCTTGGAAGTACTGAGTCCAGATTCTCGAAGATGCTGTAGACTCTCTACTTAACTTCAATTTTGTGGGATACTCCAGTAGCTTTATAATAAATTCTCTTTGTGCTAAAGCTAGTTTACTTTGGGTTCTTGTGACCTGTACCTGAAAGTTTGGATTCACAGAGAGGGAATCAACATTTGGCTGTAATGGTCTGGGAGTCTGGATGCCTGGACACCCAGAAAAGATACTGTTATCTCTTCATTCCAATAGTAATGAGAACTGAGTGTCTGTCTGTCTCTCCTCCTTCTCAGATCAATTAATTGTTACTACTTCCCCATGTGGGGCAGCTCTAGGAAAGACTGAATGGGTTTAGTTCAGGCTGGCCCTGAACTCACTTTGTAGCCCAGGCTGGCCTCGAACTCAAGGCGATCCTCCTGCCTTAGCCTCCGGACACTGATGTAATCTTAATGGCCTAAAGATCTTTTAGGGTTGGGTTGGGAATGTAGTTCAGCAGTGCCATTCCTGACTGGCAAGTGCAAGATCCTGAGTTTGATTCCTGGTACTGAAAGAAAAAAGATCTTTTAGGGTGAACGGCCAGCCATCTGGCTCTTTGTTTTCTCTGGAAAATATGCTTCTCCTTTAGTAATAATTTATACCACATAATCACAGAGGAAGGGCTCACCAAAGATGTGTGTATAGAAAGATGGTACCCCAACTCCTTGGCTGCAACCAACTGAATGGGTCTTTCCTAAGCTATAAACTCAGATATAGTTGTGGGTGATCATTTTCCCTGGGAGTGGAAGGCTGATCTATACTTCCCTGCCAGAGAAGAATGAATCAGAGACATAGACAAAAGCAGAGAAAAGGGAAAAAACAAGGGGAACCTCCAATTCTCTGAAGGTCATGGCTCCAGAATACTCTCAAAGCTCAGCTTTATACTTGCCCTTTGAATGCCATCAAATATCTCTGTACTTTTATAATGGCTTCTTCTTTTGGTAAAGCTGGTCTCATAGAATTTCTGTTCTTTATACCTAGTTAAAACTTTCTAAAAAAAAAAAACAACAAAAAACTTTCTCTTTTATGAGTGTTAGTTTCCCCATTAGAAAACAAGAGGGTTGAGTTAGATGACCTGCAAGTCTGCAACTCTAGTCTTGAGACAACTGAAGTAGAAAAAGGCTAGACTCCACAACTGACCTTATGTTCAAATGCTTAACCTCTCCAGGGCCTTGGTTTTCCTCTCAGTTTTATAAGAATAACATTCTTATTTGTTGGTTATCTAGGCCCAGGAAGGCTAGGAACATAAATGCATGTTTATATCTGGAAGAAATGCTCATTATGCTCAAGACTGGTATTACAGTTTAGATCTAGAATGGGCCTCCAAAGTCTCAATGTGTTCAGAGGTGGGGCTTTTGGAAACTGATGGATCATGGGGTGCTATACTCACCAGTGAATTGATCCACTGATGAGTTCATAGCTACGGGTGATATTAGGAGGTGGGGCCTGGTTGAAATACGAATGTCACCAGGGCCATGCCTTTGGAGGGTACATCTCCCTCTTCAGTTCCTCCCTTGGAGTTCTGCTTCATGACTATGTGTTGAGCAGTTTTCCTCTGCCACATGTTCCACCATGATGTTTCTGCTTTGGAGTCAGCACACCATAGACTGAATCTCCTTATCTGTGAGCCAAATAAACCTTTCCTCTTTTAAATTGTGGGCATCATGTATTATGTCCAGCAATGGAAAAACTACTGGAGAAAAGCTGAGCTTAGGATCATTACAGCTGGGCTCCTGACATCTACTTCTGCCCTAGATAAACATCACTTTATTCACATTGGCTCCATGATGCTGGTGTCTCCAGTCCCTCACTTCCTTCTTTGGCTGTAGTTTCTCAGTCTTTTTCAGAGGAATATGTTCATTTACCCATTCTCTATCCATTCCACAGCTGGGTGATCACATCCATTACCTTGGCTTCAACTATCACTGTAAATGCATGACTACAAAACCTGCATTTCGAGCCTACTTGTCTCTCTCAGACTCCACATGGGAATACTCAATTTCCTGTCTGGCATGTTTGTTTGGATGTTCCACAGATACATAAAAAACTCAACATAATGTGTAAAACTGAAGCCCACTTACCACTTCAGGCCATGAGAGAATAACTGGAACTGGAGTCTCCCTCCTGCCATAAAAAATTATAAAGCTAGACAAAATATACAAGGATCTGAATATATGCTTTCAGGCCTTGCACATGAAGCTGCTCAGGACTATAATTGTTAAAAGAAAGGCAATTTAGAATGTGATAGTAGTGTACTATGGTCACCCTAGCTTTCATCCTGGGGCACTTTCTTATGGTGCCGAAGGGGGATGAAGGCCAAGCTAGGTGGCAGACTCACTGAGCAGGCAGATTGAGTTCTGTTCTGCAGATGAAACTGGAATCTGTAAGGCAAGGTACCAGAACCATGTAGCAAGACAGTAGCACAGCATAGGGGTGGAGGGGTGGGCAGGCTCCTGGGTGAAGGCCAGGTTATACATGTGCAGAGCAAGACTATCAGTCCAAGGAGAGATCATTTGCTATGGGGTTGAGGATTAAAAGGCGATGAGTGCAGAGTTAGAAGACAATGGATTCAAGCCCAACAACATGGAAAGCTCATGCGGAGACTCAGAAGGATAGGTCTTATTCCAGTTCAGATTGGAAGAATAAACGTAAGCCTGACAGGATCAAAAGGTTCTGCCTGATACAGTAAAACTTAATGTTCTTAAAAACAGAGAACATAATTTAGACACCCTCAAGGTATCAGCCATAAAACAGTGTGGTATTAGCATAAAAAAAATTGAATCCTGAATAAAGGAAACATAAACCAGTCGACTGAATTGAGACAAAGGGTTAGTGTGTTTCCATGAGTAAAGAAATACTTTTCAGGAAAGGCTTGATATTGATATTCACAGGTAACTTTGTTTTTGGTATGGGTATTAAACCCAGGGCCATTGGACTGAGCTACATCCCCAGCCCTTTTTATTTTATTTTGAGACACAGTCTTGCTAAATCATTAAGTTGCCCAGGCTGGGCTTGAACTGGCAGTCTTCCTGTCTCAGCCTCCCAGAGTGCTGAGACTACAGGAATGCTCCACCATGCCCAGCCTCAAAGGTACAATTCGATATCCATGTAGAAAAAAGATGAACCTTGACTCATACTTCACATCATACACAAAAACTAAAGAGCAATTCTAAGCATTAAAGTGTATGGAGATTCTAGAGGGAAACATATTTGCAGATTTCTTGGAACACAAAAGCACTATCTATCTGGGGATTGGAGGGGATAGGAGGCAGGGAGGGAAGGAAAGAGGAAGTAAAAAGGATCAAGATGCAATAAGTATATGTACCAGTTCCCTTTGATGAATGTATTTATAATGTATTTCAAACATTAATTTTAAAAAGGGGAAAAAGCACTAATTATGACATAGAGGCCCAGCTTGCTGTGAATATTCTTTAAAAGTCCTCCGAGGACCCATGGTTTGATTTCTTTTAACTAAACACCTAGTAGTAGTAGTATTGTTGGGTCCTGTTCCCAAAGAGACTATCCGTTTTACACTCCCACCAAGAAAGTATAAGGAACATAGTTGCTCCACCACTTTGCCACTTCTTGTCAGCCTTTTAATGGTATCATTTTGGCTTTAATTTGCATTTCCCTCATGACTAATGATGTAGTCATTCATATATCTCCTTTTTGAAATGCCTGTTCGAATCTTCTGCTTATTTTTAAGTTGAATTTTTATTATTAAATTATAAAACTTCTTTGCATATCCTTTGCCTGATTTATGTTCTGTGAATATCTCCTCCCAGGTTTGATCTAAACTTTTTTTTTCTTAATGGAATCATTTAATGAAAAATTTTTAAGTTCAATGAAGTTTAGTTTGTCATTTTTTTTTTTCATTAGAATTGATTTCTTTTACCTGAATGAGAAACCTTTGCTAGTCCTTAAAACATGAATAAGTTCTGAGGCTTTTTTTTTTTTGGTACCAGGGATCAAACTCAGGTCTTTGCACTTGCGCAGCAGGCAGCGAAACCACTGAGCTAAATCTCTGACCCTAGTTCTGAGGTTTTTCACTTTCGTTTTATGATCTATTGTAAGCTAATTTTTGTTATGGGATGAGATGGTATTGAGGTTATTTTTTAAAACTTTCTTTCTTTTTTTTTTTTTTTTTTGAGACAAGGTCTCACTATGTAGTTCAGGCTGGCCTTGAACTCACTATGTAGTCCAAACATGAAGCAATCCTGCCTCAGACTCTTGAGTGCTGGGATTATAGGTGTGTGCCACCATGCCCGGAAAGGTTATTTTTTTCTAGGTAGATATCCAGTTATTCCAGCACCACTTACCAAAAACAACCCCCTTTTCCTATTGGGTTGTTTTGGTGTCTTTGTCAAAAATCAAATGATGATAGCATGGGTCTATTTCTGGACTATTTATTCGGTTTTCTTGATCTGTCAGTCCTTATGGCTGCACCATACTTTTGATATTTTTTTCCTTTTATAAATTGTGCTTATGGTGTCAAGTCTATGGACATTTTTTTTTTTTTTGGTGCCAGGGATCAAACTTGGGACCTTGTGGTTGCGAGGCAGGCGGCGGAACCACTGAGCTAAATTGCCCGGCCCCTTTATCTCTTTATTTATTTGCCTATGGATGTCCAACTATCCCAATAGCATTTGCTGAAAATGGTACTGAATTGTTTTTGCATTCTTATCAAAAATCAATTGAGTATATTTTTTTCCTAGTTTATTTTCATGAAAGTAATACTTCAAGACCCATATCTAGTATTAGAGATGCTTATTTCTACTGGCTTAGTCACTGTTTCCAAGCATTGTTTCTAACTTGGTGGATTTTAGTCTCCACTAGATTGGGTTTCTTTTGGGTAGGGACTGTGAACTTTTATCTCTGAAGACTGAATACCTGGTATTGACTCTGTTCTTTGCTCCAACTCTTCAGGACAACAGAAAGGACAAGAACACTCTTAGCTACAAGTTACCAAGGTCACTTCAATACCAGACCCACTGGTCCCAGCTTTATGAGTTCTAATTTTTCCCAGGCTATTGATTCTTTAGGCAGTAATGCCATTAAATGATGAGTTATTATTACCTACAACTGATCACAATCATTGGGGGAGACAATGGGTCAGTAAGGCCTCTGGAATGCTTAAAGTAAGCCTTCTATGCCCGACTCTCACAAAACTCATCTTTCTTTCACAGTATCATTTCTTAACAGTCCAAATGCCTCCTAAATTTTATCCCAGATCTTTTCTGAGGTTTTGCAAGGCTCTGCCACTAACAATCTTTTCCTAATTGGAATGCTGCTTTTTTCATCACAGTGTCATTTGCATGAGAAAGGAGATCTGACACCAGGGCCATTCTGAGTGAGTTAGATGCATGTTAGCCTTGATAAGCCCCTCTCTTCCAACTACAGTCAGCCCTCGGTATCTGTGGGTTCCATATTCATGGAGTCAACAAACTGTATGTTAAATATTTGAAAAAAAATTGTGTCTGTACCGAGGATATACAGAGTTTTTTCTTGTCACTATTTCCTAAATAATACAACTATTTATATATCATTTATATTGTATTAGGTATTTTAAAGTAATCCAGAGATGATTAAAGTATACAAGAGGATTGCATAGGTTATATGTAAATGCTATGCCATTTTATGTAGGGGACTTGAGCATCCACAGATTTTGGTATTTGCAGGGGTGAGCAGGTTGGGGCAGGGTTCTAGGATCAATTTCCTGCAGGGACAGAGTGATAACCATGCACTCTTAGTTACCCTTGCTTAGTAAGTAATAATTTTTAAAATGTAATTTTTCTGTCTTTACATAAGGTCTTTGTGACCTGTACATGGTTCTCTGAATTCAAATACTAGATTTCTTCTATCTCTGACTCTTCACAGTTTCTTCTAATTAGTTCAGATTCAGTCTCCTTGTCTCACATAATAAATGTCCCTATCATGTTACGTCCCCACACAGTATACATTTATCTTTCTAGACTTCTCTCTCTTTCCTTAAAAAGGATCTCTGTATACATTTTCAAATCTCTCTTCTCTAGCTGTCCTGTTTCATTTCTTCTTTATGATCTGGTGACTTCAATTTAAAACCACCAGAAGAGGGCTGGGGACTTAGCTCAGTGGTTTCGCCACCTGCAGTGCAAGCACAAGGACCCGAGTTTGATCCCTGGTGCCAAAAGAAAAAAAAAACCACCAGAAGAATTGCATTATCCTTATTTTAATAATTTCCCATACGAAAGTATGCAAACCATGCACTATCCAAACATTTCTTCCCAGAGGGCGAACTCATCTCAACCAGGACCAACTGACCTATTTCTTAAACCCTTGTTCTCCTTGTCTCCATATCCCACTTTCTTTTTCTTTCTTTCTTTCCTTTTTTTTGGTACCAGGGCTCGAACTTGGGTCCTTATGTTTGCGAGGCAGGTGGCAGAACACTCCCACTTTCTGATTTATTTATGCCTCCTAGTATTACTATGTAATGTTCTTCTAGGAAGCACTACAGACCATATACTCTCCAGGATGCGTTCTCCATGAAGTTTTCTTCTTCAAGAGATGACAACTCTGACAAGTATTCAAGAGTGAATGAGGTAACCCTAATCCATAGAGCCTTCTAGGTGAGAGGCTTCTAAATGGCGTTTTATAAGTTTGCCCATGAGGGTCTTCCTTGAGAACTATTGTTACTATCCTGATTCCTAAGAGGATATAAAAAAGACTCAAATCACAATTGCCCAAATTATGACCACCAAGTCTGATTAACTGCACCTTGCCTCATTGCTAACTTGACCTAGTTTACTATACAGTGGACCCCTGACTTACAAACTCAATCAGTTCCCAAGGGCTAACTGTAACTCAAGTTAATTATAAGTCAATATAGCTGAGATCTGGATGTTTACCTGGGCACATGCTATAGATAGCAAGAGGCAGAATTATGTCCATTAACTTAATTAACCCAAGTTGTTTGTATGTCAGGCTGGTTGTAACTTGAGGGCCCACTTTATAATAGCATTTGATCAGCCACCCCTTTGTGTGTCCCATGTGATATCCAATACTACCTAGCATTGCCAATTTCTGTCCTAGATGGGATTCTCATGGTTACTATAGCAGCTCATTATCACAATTCAGTTAGAGAATACAACAAAAACCTAACACACCATCTAATATGTAGCATAAAGTATATGCTTATTAACACCATTTTTAAGTAAATGAATAAGTGGATGTGAGTCTCTATCAAGTCACTATCCCAACTGTTTGGTGAATAATTAATGTTTCCTCACTCTTATGTAAGTTTACTGAACAGCTTTGAGGACTCTCCTTCCCGTGAGACTACTGTATTAACCTAGAAATTCTTTTTCTACTGATATACAGAATTTATTAAGCTTTGCATATGTAATACAGCATAGTTTTACTTGCATCCAAAGTGCTAACAAAGGCTCTAGCAATCAAGAATGGCAGCATGTTATTTTATAACAATCAACACAGTAGCTTTTCAAATTTGGTTTTCAGAAGAAGTTATCCTCAAGTAAATCTAGTCATGCTTTTAAAAATTGCTTTAGATCACTCCAAGCTTGGCAATTAACATTTGGCATAAACAATAAAACAATCACAACTTCATAAATAACAGAGATAACATTATAGGCCATAAACATACAGCATAAGGAAATAGCAGTGGTGCTGTAAGTCATTAATTTAAAAATTAGAGTAAGTAGAGTACCTTGGCCTCTATGCAGAGCTCTTGAGTCATTAGCCTGGACACTCAGTTTTCAAAGTAGGGGCAATGTCTACAGTATCATTTCCAACACTGTAAACAAGTAGAGAATGACTAATTAATGGTGATTTATTAATAAATTACGTCCTCATGAGTTATCACTAACACCTGTGTATAAAAATGTTCAAGTTTTGAGGCAACACTGCTGTCACCGCCGGGGTGTCCTGCGCCACCTGGAGTGGGCAGCGGAGCAAACATGAATGTTGGAGTGGCCCACAGTGAGGTGAATCCAAATACTCATGTAATGAACAGCGGGGGTATGTGGCTGACATATGCATTAGGAGTTGGCTTGCTTCATACTGTATTGCTCAGCATTCTTTTCTTCCGTGTTCCTGTTGCTTGGACCTTAACAAATATTATACATAATCCGGGGATGTAGGTATTTTTCCATGCAGTGAAAGGAACACCTTTTGAAACTCCTGACCAAGGTAAAGTAAGACTTCTAACTCATTGGGAACAACTGGACTACGGAGTACAGTTTACATCTTCATGGAAGTTCTTCAAATTTCTCCAATAATTCTATATTTTCTGGCAACTTTCTATACAAAGGATAATCCAACTCACTTCATCCTAAATACAGCTTCTCTCCTGAGTGTGCTTATTCCCAAAATGCCACAACTACATGGTGTTCGGATCTTTGGAATTAATAAGTATTGAAATATTTTAAAACTGAACAAAAATTTTTTATAGCTACTGAGTTTCCTGTAGGGAAGGAGTAGTGAATAAACTGCACTGCTTCTGTGATAATGTGAAATGAGAGGTATTTGCATTGGAGGACCAATTGCTGGTTTTTCATATGCTGTCTTGAAGTGCAGGATTCTAAAGTTTAAAGAATCTGCTACATTTCTGAAGAGAGGCAGGCTGGGCAGGCCCAGCTTATAAATTAATGGCAGTACAGTGAGGGTGTAGTAGATAAATCCAAGGAAATACAAGATTTGTAAAGAAATAGGACCAACTTTTAACTTATAATGAATGGGCATTTTATTAGGAAAAGAAAATTTCCAGTCAGTCACAGTCAGTTTAAGCAGGCTTACACATGAACCAGAATCATCTCTAGACATGTTTATTATAGACTCTTTTTTGCTTTTTGTTTTTGGTACCGGGGATCAAACTCAGGTCCTTGCGCTTGCACAGCAGGCGGCGAAACCACTGAGATAAATCCCAGGCCTTATTACAGTCTGTCTTTATTACCAGACGTGTTTCTCTTCTATAAGAGGATGTATGCCCTCATGTTTCTGTAAGCCAGTTCCTACCTTATGAGTATGCTTTTTGGTTTTGCTGGCCCAAAATTGTGTCGATAGATAAGGTCAGTTTTACATACATTATGTTACAGAATTCATGAAGGTCCACTTTCATTACTGGGGATAGATGATACCAGGTATCTGACAGGCACCCTCCGAGTCAGCCTTCTAATTTTGGAACACAGTGGGTTATACTGCTTTTCTAGACATAAAGCTGCTAATTCAATTAAGAAAATAATTTATTCAAGCAGTTAAAGTATATGGTAGTTTAAAAGTGTCTGCTTATTGGATTAAGCAACTTAATTGGTAAAGCTATCATTCTTTAGGAAAGGAAATATAAAATGGACAACTATCTAGCCACCTGTGGTCTGGCAAAAAATGCTTCTCTAGCAATCGTACCAAAGGAAGTAATGGAGTCTTTTTTTTTTTTTTTAGCAAGTCACCAGTAAAAGGTGACAGTATCTTTTTTATTCTTCCTGCTGTCAAGTTCCATAGTTTCCCATTAATATTTTGCCTTTAAATATGTGGGTCTTAGTGTAGATGATACCAAATGGTAACTATTTCCAGAGCAATGACCATGCTAAACTTTTGTGACTTAAAGAAGCTTACTATAGTTGTTAATATTAACTGTAAGAAGGCCGGGGATTTGGCTCAGTGGTTCTGTCACCAGCCTTGTAAGCGCAAGGACCCGAGTTCGATCCCTGATACAAAAACAAAAACAAAAAAGAATATTAACTGTAAGGAATAACTACATACTACTTGGAGAAGTAAACACAAAGTTCTAATATAAAATGAAACATAAAAACTCAGTGACATTTATAAACAGAATTGAGTGAAAAGAGTTGTAGACCAACTTGTCACTCTGTGCCAATATACTATTAGGAATATTGATCATTGTTTTGTATTTCAAAAGTACAGAGCTTAGAAATTAGCTGTATGATACAAAGTTGCCTTTGTATGTTTGTCTTTTCCCATGTATTTTTAAATAATTGGTGATCTATACTTTAACAAAATTTTTCTTTGGGTGTAAAAAAAAAATGTTCAAGTTTTATCAGTTATATAACTTTGTGTGCCTCTTATTTTAGAAGGTGCTACATGGATTAAATGGAGACAGCAATGCTTCCCCTAATGTGATTGATCTTACCATGTTTATAGCTATCAAGACCTAAAACACTTCAGGTGTTTGAACTGAACACTGATGCGCACACTCATATTTCAATCTACTGATATGCTTGACTCAATATTATTTGGTCAATGGTCAATTTATTCTGAAATTAAAATTTTAATTTGTAAAAAGTTGATATAAGTGGCATAATAACAAATACGCTGAGATGGTTATGGTCACAAACGGCAATTAACAAGGAGATGGGGAGGTCCTACTCTCAAGTTATCATTGGCATCACTGTACATACTGTCACACAACTACAATAAATCGAATTTACAGCTGTATAATCTGCCATCTTCTCACACCCAAGATGTGTGCCTTGAAACAGTGTTTATGCAAAAATTTTGTAGCTAGTAGTTCTTCCTTTAAATGTACTGTAAATAAAATGCACAGAAACTTTTAATGACCAGGATTCAGAAAATTTAAAAGAATAATTTTAGTTAGGAATCAAGGCAAAGAAGAAAAAAAATCATCTAGAAGACAGAGATTCAAGTAGCATCTCAGATGCACAGCAATTTCATAAAGTAGAAAAGCAACTTTGAGCACCCGTAGCTTCTCAGATCATTCTACCAAGTTTCCAGGTACTACCTGTGTCTGTATAATAGTATTTCTTTAAATAAAGGACTTTTGGTGGGGGGGGTTGAGTCAGGGTCTCGCTATGTAGTTCATTCAGGCTGTCCTTGAACTCACTATGTAGCCCAGGCTGGCCTTGAACATGTGGCAATCCTCCAGCCTCAGCCTCCGAATAAATAAAGGACCTTGAATGCACATCCAGGGTGTTTCCTGGGAGTAGAGGTAAAGATATTTTCATTTTGTTTAAGTCACAATTTGGTCAAAGAAATATGTAAAGCTAAATAAAAGCACATCTGGTAGAAATCCATGGCAATGAATGATGACAAGATGCGCTTGGATCTTGTTTGCAGCATCTGGCAGTGGGTAGTAGAACAAAAGTAGGAATCTCACAGGCTCTTCTGTGTCTGTTCTGAGGTGGCTCCATGGTAGTGGCACTAGCATTTGCAGTTGAATTCAAGATTTCTCCAAAATCACAATCAGCAGGCTTTGTTCCCCCTAATTTAGACTAAGTTTTCAAGCTTTTCTTCAAATGACTTGAAAGTCAGGGAGTTTTTTATGTCTTCCAATTTTTTGGTGATAACAGAACTTATGAAAAGGCGGCTGCAGGGGCTGGGGATGTAGCTCAGTGGTGCTGCACCTGCCTTGAAAGCGCAAGGTCGTGAGTTTGATCCCTGGTACCAGGGGAAAAAAAAATGACCAGGAAAGGTAAATATTTGGGGCTGGGAATGTAGCTCAATGGCACAGCACCTGCCTGGCAAGTTCGAGGTCATGAGTTCGATTCCCGGTACCAAACAAAAGAAAAAAAAAAAAGAAAAAAAGGCAGTTGAAGCCTTCTTTGCAGGGTGAGGCAAGGGGTCAGAGGTCTTCTTGTATGCAGACACTGCCCTCACATCTTGGCACCCTTTGGCAATGTTCTGCTTTAGTTCCTGTAGTGAGTGATCCCAAGTTTCTGCTTGATCTCTGCTAGATGCTTCTCTTTTGCTGCTAACACTTGAGACAGAATTTGAATTTCTTCTTCTACCTCTGCCAGCTCTTCTCAGCTCTTCTTGCTCCTTTTCTGAGAGGGTCTCTGTGGCTGCAACATATTCTTCCTCCACTACTGGGTCTGTTCTGTCCTCAGCAAACCAAATTTCTGAGGAGGTCATCCAGGTGGAGACAGATTCCTACTAGGTGACAGGTAGAGATAGTTTTTGCTCATTACTGTATCAAAATCAAACAGGGACTGGTAGTCTTCATGTAAGTCTGTGTCTCTGTGATCCATTCCAGGCAAGGGGAGAATGAATGCATGGCTTTACGACAGACTGAAATCCCTGTTCTGTTGTGTGCCCCTTTGGCCTTATTCCCTTTTCACAGTGCAACCTCACTGAGATATCTTCCAGGTTTGGAGGCCCCGCATTGGCATCTAGGCCCTGAAATTCCTACACAGAGATTCTTAAAGTCCCAATGTGAATAAGAACTTAAAGCATAAAAATTCCCTTTATTTCTTTGATCATTTGTTTTTGCAAACATGGCTCTTATGGACTTAAGGGACACTGGAATAAGAAAAAAATGATGCTTACCTTCCAACTGATAGCAAATCAATACAGCTAATATTAATGGGATAGAAAGAAGTACGTACTATTAAGCTTACAAAGCTCAAAAGGAAAGAAAAGCTTTGAATTACTTGGTTGAACTCCCCATTAGCAGTGGTTTTTCAATCACGGCTCTTGACCATCTACTGAAGAATCACCCAGGGCTTGTTCCTAACTCCACTTTGGACCTCTAGAATCAGTCTCTGGAGTAGAACCAATTGTATATATTAACAAGCTTCTTGGTGACTGTGATAGACACACTTTGATCCATAAGTGGCTCTCCTCAGTTTCAACCCTTTCAGTGATGTGGCTCTCCCTATATTGTGAAAAGACTAACAATCTCAAAGTCAAAAGACCTGGGATTAAGTTGTAGATGATCTTGAGCAAGTAACTTAACCTCTTTGGGCCATAGTTTCTGTTTCCTTAGTTTGGAGATCTTGATACCCCAAAGGCTTATTATGATGACTAAAAAATCTAATGT